CACCTGCAGTGCTGTCACCTCTTCCACACCTCTGTGTGTTCTTCAAGATCCCCCTCATTGCTACTTCCTCCCTTGAAGCCTTTCCTGACCCCCTCAGACAGAACCACACAATCCTACCTATAAGGTAGTATTGTGAGTGGTGAAAAGTGTCATCCCTGCAGCTAGACTGCCTGGGTTCCAATATCAAGATGAGCACCTTACTAGCTGTGTGACCTTGGGCAAATGACTTAGACTCTCTGTGCCTCAGTTTCCTCATCTGGGATAGTCATACCTCCTCATATGTTGTTGGAGGAACAAATGAGTTAATATTTATGACACACTTAGAGTAGTAACTGGCACCTGATTTCTCTCCTGGATGAGTTTTCTGTTGTTGATTGAGCTTAACATCTGAAGGTCTCCCCACATTCACTGTATTCATAGCATTTTTATCTAACATGAATTTTCTGATGCTCACAAAGGATTGAACTGTTGCCAGTGCTCTCTCAGTTCACTGGTAGAGAATCTACTTTCGTGGATAAGCTCTACAAGATGAGTTTCTGATGCTGAGTAAGACATGTTTGGCTAAATGATTTCCCATAGGCAGCCCGTTCATGGGCTTCCTCTCCTGTATGAGTTTTCTGGTGCTGGCTTTGAGACATTGATTAAGTTATTCATGGTCTCTGAAGCTCAGGTTTCCCCTTTGAAAAATGGGAATGTTTAGATGGCATAATATACTATCTTAATGTGTGTGAAGTTCTTAGCACAGCACCTGGATTACAAGGAAAGCTTAATGCACGGTGGCCGACGTGATTGGTGGGTTTATCTCACTTGACTCTACCGTGGTTTTTTGTCAGCAGGAACATCTTAGTGCCTGCAGAGCCTGGCAGTGGTAGGAGTGTGTGAATGTTTACCGGGTAAGTGAATGATAAATGGGAGAGTCATTGGTCAAAGCTGAGCAGAGGCCCGTGTGGGTGTATCAGTTGTATACCTGGCTCAGCCTGGTGGTGGCTGGGACCCTGCCCCTATGAAGTATTTTCTAAGCCCGGTGCCTATTGGTCCTGACAGCCAAAGAGAAGCATACATAGAAGAAGAAATCCCTGGAGTCCACTCACCCAGAGCAAAGGACCATCCCCACCATCTTTTTAAAGGTCATCCATCCTCACTATCGACTAATTCTCTCTTAGGGCATTCATTCAACAGCATTCCACCTGTTTTTATTTACTGAGCACCTACTGTGGCCCAGGCACCGTGCTGTGCCCCAGGGATCCAGTGTCAAAAATACAAATAAGATCTCTACTCTCATATAAGTTATGAAAGAGAAGCAGAGGGTGAGTAAACAGACTTTTACAGAGTGTGGTAAATGTTGTGACGGAGACACACTGGGTGTGGGAGTTGGGGGGCGTCTAATCCAGACCTGGGGGGGGAGTCAGGGAAAGCTTCCTGGAGAAGGAGAGTGCTGAGCAGAAGACACAGCACGCAGTTCTAGCAGTTGACACAGCAGGCTTGGGGAAGGTTCTGAGGAATCACAGAGATGTGGACTCTGGCTTGTAAAATCGCAGAATCAGAGATTCTAGCATCAAAGGATCCAAATGACAGGATCCATATTTTCTCTACTGTGCTTACAATATTTTTTTCACTAAGACTTGAAACATACCTTGTTAGGGAAGCCCTGGCATCTTTATGAAGTAATTTGTGCTCGTTGTACAACATGGAAAAATAAGGGATATAAAGGAATGAGTGGGTGGGTGGACGGAGTTTCCTTCAACCCCTGTTAACATTTAGGCACATTTCCTTTCCTTTCATTCATTTTTTGGGGTTGTTTTTAGTTTTAGTTTTTAAAACTGAGATATTTACATACCATAATGTTAGCAGTTTTAGTGTTTTTGAGTATTTTCACAAGGTTGTATAACCATCACCACTATCTAATTCCAGAATATTTTCATCACCCCATTAGCAATCACTTCCCATTTCCCCCTCCCACCAGCCCCCGGTAACCACTGATCTTCTTTCTGTTTCTATGTAGTTGCCTATTCTGGACATTTCGTATAAGTGGAATCACACAATATATGGCTTTTTGTGTCTGGCTTCTTTCACTTAATACAATACTTTCGAGGTTCATCCATGTTGTAGCATGAATCAGTGCGTCATCCCTTTTTATGGTTGAATAATATTCCATCAAATGTATATGCCGCATTTAAAAAAATAGATTCATCAATTGATGGACTTTTTTTTCACTTTTTGTGACTGTTATGAATAATGCCACTATGAACATTTATGTACAAGTTTTTGTGTGGACATCGTTTTCAGTTCTCTTGGGTATCTACCTAGGAATGGAATTGCTGGGTCATATGTTAGCTCTATGTTTAATGTTTAGAGGGACAGCCAGACTGTTTGCCAAAGCGACTGCACTGCTTTACATTACCACCAGCAATGTACGAGGGTTCTTGTTTCTCCACACCCTTGATAACACTTGCTATTGTTCTTCTTTTTCTTTTTTTTTAAAATTTTATTTACTTATTTGTTTATTTTTGGCTGCATGGGATCTTTGTTGCTGCACGTGGGCTTTCTCTAGTTGTGGCGAATGGGGGCTACTGTTCGTTGCGGCACGCGGGCTTCTCGTTGCAGTGGCTTCTCTTGTTGTGGAGCACGGGCTCTAGGCACGCGGGCTTCAGTAGTTGTGGCTCGCAGGCTCTAGAGCACAGGCTCAGTAGTTGTGGCACACGGGCTCTAGTTGTGGCTCGCGGGCTCTAGCGTGCAGGTGCAGTAGTTGTGGCGCATGGGCTTAGTTGCTTCGGGGCATGTGGGATCTTGTGGACCACGGCTTGAACCCGTGTCCTCTGCATTGGCAGGCAGATTCTTAACCACTGTGCCACCAGGGAAGTCCCTATCCTTCTTTTTCACTATAGCTATCCTAGTGGGTGTGAAATATCTCACTGTGGCTCCCCCCGCCCTGCCACACCAAGCGGCTTGTGGGATCTTAGTTCCCCGACCAGGGATTGAACCCAGGCCCTTGGCAGTGAAGGCAGAGTCCTAACCACTGGACAGCCAGGGAATTCCCCTCATTGTGGCTTTAATTTGCATTTCCCCCATGGCTAGTGATCTTTTCATGTGCTTATTGGCCACTTGTGTATCTTCTTTGAAGAAATGGCTATTCAAATTCATTGCTCGTTTTTAATTGAGTTGCCTGTTTGTTGTTGAATGGTAATAGGGTCTTTATATATCCTGGATACTAGACTCTTATTAGATACATGATTTGAAAATATTTGTTCCATTTTGTGGATTGTCTTTTTACTTTCTTGATAGTGACTTTTGAAGCTCTAGAGTTTTTAATTTTGATAAAGTGCAATTTATCTACTTTTTCCTTTAGTTGCCTGTGCTTGTGGTGTCATATCTAAGGAACCATTGCCTTATCCAAGGTCATGTAGATTTACACTTATGTTTTCTTCTAAGAGTTTTATAGTTGTAGCTCTTACATTTAGATCTTTGGTACATTTTGAGTTAATTTTTGTATATGGTGTGAGGTGGAGGGGCTCTGACTTCATTCTTTTGCATATGGATGTCCAGTTGTCCAAGATTCATTTGCTGAAAAGACTATTTCCAAAGACTTGTCTTGGTTCCCTTGCTAATAATCAATTGACCATAAATATATGGGTCTATTTCTGGACTCTCAATTTTGTTCCATTGATCTCTATGTCTATCTTTATGCCAGGATCACACATTCTTGATTTCTGTAGCTTTGTAGTAAGTTTTTTTCTTTTTAAAATAAATTTATTTATTTAATTTATTTTTGGTTGCATTGGGTCTTTGTTGCTGCACGCAGGCCTTCTCTAGTTGTGGAGAGCAGGGGCTACTCTTTGTTGCGGTGCGTGTGCTTCTCATTGAGGTGGCTTCTCTTGTTGTGGAGCATGGGCTCTAGGTGCGCGGGCTTCAGTAGTTGTGGCGTGCGGGCTCAGTAGTTGTGGCTTGCGGGCTTTAGAACGCAGGCTCAGTAGTTGTGACACACGGGCTTAGTTGCTCCGCGGCATGTGGGATCTTCCCGGACCAGGGCTCGAACCCATGTCCCCTGCATTGGCAGGCAGATTTTTAACCACTGTGCCACCAGGGAAGTCCCTGTAGTAAGTTTTGAATTTGGGAAGTCTGAGTCCTCCAACTTTGTTCCTTTTTTTTTTTTTTCAAGATTGTTTTGGCTATTACATTTCCATATGAATTTTATGATCAGCCTGTCAATTAATGCAAAAAATCCAGCTGCGATTTTTGATAGGGGTTGCATTGAATTCATAGATCAGTTTGAGGAGTACTGCCATATTAACAACCTTGTCTTCTCCTTCTTTCTTTTGGGTATTTATTGAGTATAAAGTTGAGCTCATGCCAAAAATACTGTTTTGATTCCTGATTTATTCTGCTTAATATTCTATCATAGGCATTTCCCTGTGTTATGAAAGATGCAAGCATAATTTCAATGCTATGTAGTATTATTCCATTGTTTGGCTGTACTATACAAACTTATAAACTCTTGGTTGTTGGATAATCTATCTAGGAAGGTACTTTGTTCTGGGTCCCTCATGATATAGGCCTCTCCCTATAGGCACAAAGGGACATTGGGAGGGCTGGTGGCACACAGAAAAGCGGCAGAATCAAAAAATAGGATCCAGCAGGCTGCACAGACACTAATACAGCATGTTTGTTTTAGGCATGTTCTCTAGAACAGTGGATTTTAAACAGTTAAAAATGTGCAGCATGGTATTCATTTTACATTGTAACTCAGTTCATCTGAAACAAACGTTTTACTAAATAATATTTACTTTTCCTATTAGCCAGGAGAAGCTGGTCTGCTGCAGTTACAAACAACCCCCAAATGTCAGTGGCTCAAGAGCTTTTTTTCTCTCTCATGCTACATGTCTATCATCTAGCAGGAGAGCCCTGGGATTTCGGTCTCTGAAGGCTTTCCCATCCAGATCATTGCTGGTTTCAGTGATAGAGGAAAGAGGCTGTGGTAGGCAGAAGAATGGCCCCCCAACAATGTCTACGTCCTAATCCTTGAAACCTTTGAATATGTTATATCACATGGCAAAGGGGAATTATAGTTGCAGATGGAATTAAGCTTCCTAAAATCAGTTGATCTTTAAATAGGGAGCTACATGTATTCATAAGGGTCTTTAAAAGTGGAAGAGGGAGGCAGAAGAGGAGGTCAGAGCGATGCAATGTGGTAAGAACCCAACCTGCTGTTGCTGGCTTTGAAGATGGAGGAAGAGGCCTTGAGACATGGAATGTGGGTGGAAAGGGCAAGGAAACAGATTTACCCCTAGAGCCTCTGGAAAGGAACGCAGCCCTGCTAACATCTTGATTTTAACCTAGTGAGGTACATTTTGAACTTCTGAACCACAGAACTGCCAGATAATACACTTATGTTGTTTTAAGCCACTAAGTTTGTGACCCTTTGTTATAGCCTCCATAGAAGACTAATATAAACAGCATGGGGAATCATGCACCAGCCCTTAAATGCTTCTGCCCGGAAGTGACATATGGCACTTCTACTCATGTTTCCTTGGCCAGAGCAAGCTGCATGGGCACGACTAACTTCATAGGACTGGAGAAATTTGATCCACCCATATGCCCAGCCTTAGAGGGCAATAGAATATTGGTAAAATATAGTAGTATCTACTATACCTTTGCCATCTGCACCTGATGCTTGTATCTTTTATTCTATTGCATTAAAAAACAACAACAACAAAGTGCTGGTGGCAACTCTGTAAGTTGATTTCATTGTCAACTAATGGGTTGTGACCCCTGGGTTGAAAAACACTGCTCTACAGACCCTCCTCTGCCCATGCCTGATGGACCACATGACACACCCTAAGCCTAGCTGATTGGCCCAGGCATCAGACACCTGACCAAAACTGACCAATGAAATTCCTCTCCTGGGGATTTGGAATTGGGCCATTCAACCAGTTCACCGTGGGAAGCTGAGCAGAGGCAGAGTAGAAATAGGGTCGGAGTGAGAGCCACATGCAAAGCCAAAATGATGGAGGGGCAGAAAAGCCCTGAGTAAGTAGAGAGTTGGTCCACAGAGGCAATGTAGCAGCCGCACACAGAGCAGTGCAGCCGGGAGAACATGCAGCCCCAGGGAGAGAGGTGGAGAGAGAGAGCAGCCGCCTGAGAGGCTGATGGCTTCCCCGTTCCCGGCTCCAGCCCCCGTGCGTCCTGCCTGCATATCCTTCCCGTGAGATTTTTGCCTCTTTATCATACCCTCTCCTTTTCTTGAGCTCTGCTAGGTGGGCTTCTGTTCCTTATCTCCAGAGAGTCTTAATCAGCTAGAACACCACCAGTATTTCTTGCGTGGGACCCAGCTTTGGCTCTGAGGGTCAGGCTTATGGGGTACAAACGGGACTTGGGGATGAACTAAACCCAGCCATCCCACAGTCTGGAAGTTTGGCCTTTACCTCAGTTTTGTGTGTTTGTGCTTGCTCTTCAAAGTGCACAGGCAGAAGCCATCTCTGAGGTCCTGCACCAGGTGGGGGTCCCAGTGAACTGCAAGCACCCCTGCAGGGGCCTTTTCTCTGACTGCATTGTGGTCAGGAAGCCAGTGGAGTTGTTTCAGGGACCGTTTGGCTGTGGGACAGAGTGGAAAGGACTTGGGCTCTGGAGACAGGCAGCCATAATTCACCTCTTTGAGCCTCAGTTTTCTCATCTCTGAAATGGGATTGTGGAAGGATCAACAACAGTGTTCTGGGAAAAATACTGAGACATGCTGAGGGCGTACAAGCCTGGAGGGCGCCCGCAGCTGTTGTTGTTGTCTGAGGAAGCCATCAGCATCCAGCTTCTTGAGGAGCTGGCCTGGTGGCTGGTTGAGTTAGCAGCGGGCCATCTCCCACTGCTGGGCTGGCCGTGCTTCCTGCCCCTCGTCACGCTTACTCTCCTGGTCGCTCCTTCCTCACCCTTTCATTTCTCCCCCCAACTCCTGTCCTCATTTCCCCTTTTTCTGTTATTCCTGACGTTGATAAAAACACCTGCTTTAGGAAAGCAGCAGGGTTGGACAGAAAATAACCAGCCTCTGGAGGCAGACAGACAGAACTGGGTCTGAATCCTGACTTATTAGCCCCTTGCTTGCTGTATGTTTCTGGGAAAATTGCTACGTCTCTCTGAATCTCGAGTTCGTTGTCTGTAAAATGAGGGTTATAATGCTCATTTCACAGTGCTGTTATGAGAAATAATTGGGCACTCAACAAATGCTAGTTCCTACTTTATAAAAATGTTAATTGCTTCTTCCTTCCTTCCCTCCCTCCCTTCTCTCTCTATCACTACTCCCAGCTGGCCCCCCGCACCAGCTTCCTGTGGCCAGGGTGCCGCTGGTCCCTCTCAGGGGTCACTGGGATGGCCTCAGGCATTTGTGGCCCCTCCTTTCCATCAGACCCAGGGCTCCTGAGGGGTGGACTGAGGCTTCCGGAAGCAGCTGAGATCTCTGTGGCCTGTCACTTCTCTGGCCTCCTCTGCAGGTCCCGCCTTAGCTTGGGAGCTGCTAGTTCAAACTGTGTGATCTGTATTTTTTTCTCACTTTAGCAATTATTATACCCCAGCTGACTGTGGCATCTTCACACTCCAAACACTGATAAATATTTATGAGGAGGAGAAAAACCCAGAACTCCTAGGGGAGGTGGGGGAGGGATGTGCTAGGCTCTTATTTGCCAACCAAGCTCAGACCCATCAGTGGTCCCTTGGGCCCCAAAAGTAAGGGGGAGGAGCGATGGGGGGGGCTACGGAGGCAGCACAGAGCCACCACCCCACTCCCCTTCTGGGAGGACCTGCTGTCGCTGGGACACTGTGGGCCTCACCCCGCCTTGCCCTGGATGCCTGCTGGACCTCCTGCCCCTCCAGGATGTGGGCTGCCTGCATCGCTCTCAGCGCATGCAGGTCTGCTCTGTTGCTCTGTGTCTGCTCCATCTCTCTCTGTGTGTGACTGTCTCTCTCTCCCTCTCTTGTTTGTTTGTTTTATCATCTCTCATTCCATCCTTTATTGTCACATCTCCAGAGCCAGCATCCCCCTCCTCTCCCTCCCTCCCTACCCTCCCTCCTCCAATACCTTCTCTGCCTCTGGGTCTCCGTCTCTACCTTTCTTCTCTCCCTCCCAACATTGCTCTGAGCGGTTCTGGGGCTGGATGATGGGGGATAGGTGAGGGGCCTCAGGCTCCCAGACCAGCTGCAGGGAGACAGCAGGAAGAGCTGCTGGGGCCCAGGGTGTGCTCTGGGAGGCAGAGGGAGCACTTTACGGGAGTCAGGGACCATGCCTCTGCCCGACCCCACATCCGTGCTCTGCTGTGTGGCCGTGGGCACATCCCCTCCCTTCCTGGCCTCAGTTCCTCAGTTGATTCCTTCACTAATTCATTCATTCACCCTCTCAACTAATATTTATTACGTGCTGGCTGCCTACCATTCATTAACACAGAGTTATTAAACACCTACTAGATGTGCCGTTCTAGGTGCTTGGGGCACATCAGTGGACGAGAGAGACAAAGATCCTGCCCTCGTGGAGGTGACGTTAGCAGGGTAGACAGGCGTAAATGTAATCCGAGAGCCAGTCATGTAGTGGGTTAGGAAGTGGTGAGTGCTGTGGAAAAAGGGAAAGTACAGTGAGAGGATTTGGAACCCTGGGTAGGCACAGGGTGAAGCTTCATCGTATAAAGCGCAGGGCTGGGCAAGTGTATCTGTGCGGGGAGAACGTCCCAGGAAGGGACTGTTGCGCTCACTGCCTCGGACCACCCTGGTGTGTTGGAGGAAAGGCAAGCAGGCTCGCGGCTGGAGGATGGGGGAGAGTAGGGGGAGGTGAAGCTGGGAGGTAAAGGGGGAGGGCAAACCACACACACAAGGCCGTGCCTCTGTGTGAGCTGGGAGGACTTTGAGCAAATAAGTGGCCAGGTCTGACCTATCTTGGAAGACTCCCTCTGCCTGCTGGGTGAGGAACAGACCGAGGGGGCTGTCGAGGGAGCCCAGGGGACCTATAAAGGCAAGCATGGCGTCTCAGGTGGGGATAGCAGTGGAAGAGAGTGAGATCTGATCATGCCAGGCACTGTTCCGGCTCCCAGCGCTTGGTTGGTGCCTGCAAGTCACTCCAGACCCCTTGTTCTGGTCCTGCCGAGGGACGGCCTGCAGGAACCTACCCCTGGGCGGGATATGCTAACCTGGCCTTCCCGCTCTTTCTCTCCCCAGGGTGTTCAAGAAGGCGAGCCCCAATGGAAAGGTGAGTCTGTAGCAGCCGCACCCTGTCTCCTCTCTGTCCTCAAACTCTCATCCCCTCTTCCGGCATCTTTACTGCCGCGAAGGACCTGCACACCCTGTCTGAGGGAGAGACACAGCCCTGTCCTTAGGAGCCCTCGACTACAAGGAGAGGGGCCCTGTCAGCAAACTTGCCGTCTCAGGGGGGGCAGGACGACGCTCCTGGACTTTAGGGAACCCCTGCCCTGGTGTGGCCCGTCACGGAGAGGCTGCACTGTGAGTGCAATAATTAGAGCAAGTGCCAAGGTCCTCAGGGGTGGTGAGTCCTCCCGCATGAGTGGCCCCTGGAGCCTCTCTACTGAGCCCTGTTATCCGGGGCAGCTCCCAGTGCCTGCCCTGTTCTCTTTCTTAATACGGCCCCAGGCTCCATCCTGCTTTCCTCTCAGTTCAGCGCATATTACTGACATCATTCCATGTCAGGTATAGGCTGAGCCAGTGGGAATCAGGGTAGGGTGTACTGAGATAAATAAGGCACAGCCTGTGCCCCTCAGGGCCAGATGCGGGAGGTAGACACAGAAACTGGTAATTTCAATATAAAGTGGTAAGTATAGCTGCAGACCCAGCCTGGGTGGTCAGGGATGGCTTCTGTGGGGAAAGATGCATTCCCAGGCAAGGCAGGGTGGAAAAGGGCATACAAGGCGTGAATATAAGTTGTAGGGAGTCTGGGTGCCAAGAGGGAGGCAGAGGGAGCGGGAGCTGAGAGGGGGAGGTGGCCGGGCTTAGGAGCTCGGACTCCTGGCCTGGGCTGGCAGATAGCACCACGTGCACCCACGTCTCCCTTCTGAGCCCACAGCAGACATCACCAATCACCCACGTCTCCCTTCTGAGCCCGAGGCAGACATCACCAATCACTGTTCACCCTTTCCTGCTGAGCCCATATTCCATCTTGGATTCTTCTCAACCCAGGGCCCCAGGCAGCCCCTACCAATCAATCAGAGTTGGCATTTGGAATGAAACTCATTTGTCATTTTACCTCTGGGCACTGAGGAACCATCAGAGGGGTTTTCAGACCAGACTACCATGGTTAGATTTGCATTTTAGGATGACCAGTGTGGCTAAGGAGGGGAGAAAGGTCCGAAGTATGGGAGGCTCCAGGCAGCAGACCATCAAGGGGCTGGTGTGTAGTTCAGCCAAGGCTGGCTGTGAGGATGGAGAAATCTGGTGGAGGGAGACTTGTCAGTATTTAGGGATTGGGGAGGAGTAGGAAGCATCCAGGATGACACTCTGGATTCTAGCTCTGGGGTTCTTCCCTGAAGACTGGTTAACGAGTGGGGCACTCACTGCCTCGGAAAACAAGTCCTCCTTCGAGTGGATCTCTGCAGGCTGCACAGAGGCCGGGAGCAGTGAAGGGCACAGAGCTCAGTGTTCAGAGCGCCCTCTCGGCGCTGCTGGCCCTGCTCTGGGTCCCCCCGTCCTTTCAGAGATGCACCCAGCACCCCCTCCCAGCAGACTCCTTTGCTGCCGCCTCTCCACCCTCAGTGGTGCTTGGCATGAAGATCCCTGCAGGCCTCAGTGTCCTCATCTGCAAAATGGGAACAATAGCAACTTCTTCACAGGGCTTTGGGATGAACGCGTGCTTTAAAAATTATACACGGGCTTGTTAGTATTAGGACTGGGGCTCAGGTCCAAGTCCAGTTAGGATTTTGATGAGGGCTAGGGTTGGGTCCAGGGGTTTCAGGGGCAGCTCCCAGGGTTTCCTCCAGGGCGGGGGCCCACAGCTGCTAACACCCTCTGTGCCTCTCCTCCCCAGCTCACCGTCTACCTGGGAAAGCGGGACTTTGTGGACCACATCGACCTCGTGGACCCCGTGGGTGAGTCCCTGGAGGCCAGAGAGGGAGGGGAGGGGGGAGGCAGGGCTGGCCTGGCTCCTTCCAGAGAAGAGCGTGTTGAAGCTGCCCAGGAATAGCCTTCAGGTCTCCAGAGTGGCCTGGTACCAAGAACAGGACGTGCGTTCAGTCAGCAAAAGCTTACCAAGCAGCTACTTTCCTCTTCAACTGAGGGACCTGTGAGAGGAAATTGTGGGAAGGATTGAGGAAAGAAGCGGGGCCGGTGTCCTGATGACACCAGGAGGATGACAACAGCCACCACTTATCGTGAGCCTTATTATATACCCAACACCGAGGGTAACTGCTACTATTATCATCCCTGCTTTACCGAGGAGAACGAGGCACAGGGAGGTTAAGTGACTTCCTCCAGGTCACAGAGCGAGTAGATCGAGGAGCCTGGATTCAAACAGACCCAGGCAGTCTGGCTTCGCAGAACCTTTGTTCTGCTCCCTCCTAATGGCAAAGGGTGGGAGGTGACAGGAAAACCTAGGGGCTTGTGAAATGGAGGCTGTCCTCACTGACGTGGGGTTCTTACCGGAGGTTGGGCTGTGGCTGAAGGCACCTTGCAAGGACTTTTTCTTGTTCAGGGCTTCTCAACCTCAGCACTCTTGACCTTTCGGATTGGATAATTCTTTGCTGGTGGGGGCCATCCTCTCTGTTGAAGGGTGCTTAGCAGCACTCCTGGTCTCTACCCTTTAGACACCAGCAGTCCCCCCATCCCAGTACGACAATCAAAAATGTTGTTAGACCTTGCGAATATTCCCTTGTGGGGCAGAATCGCCCCCAGTTAGGATTCTGGCCTGGAGCACTATGACCCCACCCCACTTCTTCTCCCCAGCCCTGTCTGGTGTCCTCTGAAGCTCACTGCCCCCTCTACCATTTCCATCTCCTCCCTGAACTTGGAGGCAGGGAGCAAGCATCCCTGTGTTCGCCTGTGGCCTGCTCCAAGGCAAAGTTTCCTACAGGCTGTCTGAGGCCAGGGCTGTTCACACTCCTTGGCCTTTAAGGATAGCAGCGGGGTCACGGGGACTGGGGAGAGGGACAGGAGGGATCTGGCTCCCCTAACATACACAGGTTATGAGAACGGTTTGACAAGTGTTCATAGAGCACCTGCTTCACGCCAGGCCCTGCAGATCCCAGAGAGTGCTGGGGCATCGTCCAGAGCTGCTCAAATGACCCACAGTGAGAAAATCTTTTTCCCTCACAACGTTGAGCTGATTGTGTCTTCCCGATGTTTAACTCTACCCCTGGTTACCGTGCAAACTCAGGGGCAAGTCCGAGCCCCCTGACCTCACAGACAGGACGTTTAAGGTCAGGCCCGGCTCTCCTTCCTCCTACGCCTCCGGGGTCTGCTCTCCCAAGCCTCAGAGCCGTACTCTTCCCACTGCCCACCTTGGGCTGTCCCTTGGTCACCTAAATGATGACCTTTACTTGCCCTTAAGACCTGGTTCCCCCTCCCCCTCCCCCAGGGAGCCTTCCCTGACACCCCTGGTTCGGGAAGTGCCCTTGCTGGGATGTCCTCTGCATTGAGTTTCCACTCAGCCCCTGGTGCCCAGGCCCAGAGGAAAGCCCACGGTAAAAGGAGGGAAGATGCACGTCAGGCTCTGGGCATGGGGTGGGCACCCCCTGACCAGTCGTCCCTTGGACCTGCCCAGCACTGGGAGAAGACCAGGAACCCTCCGGGCACTCACTTCCTAATGTGGCCTCTGAGGGGTCAGCTCTGGGGGTCAGTGTGGGGTGAGGGGGGCTGTGGGTTAGACTGGGGAGGGCAGGTGACAGGGTGACCCCTGAGCCAGTCTTTTTGGCCTCCTGGGGTCTGGGCAGAGAAAACATCCTTCGTCTTCAGCTGGACTCTGTACTCCCAAGACCAGGCCTTGGGACATTCTCCATGGTGTCACATGTGTCAGGCACTGTCTAACACTTGACACATACTGACTCATTTCGTCCTCACAGGAGCCCTATGACGTAGGTACTACAGGATCTGATAATCCCAAATCCCAAAGCTCTGCAAGCCCCAAACTGTTCATGAGTTTGACACAAAATTCATTCAGTGGCAAACCTGACCTGAACTGATGGGAGGCCACCGATACCTTAGTGACCCTCTTGGTGAAAATATTTGCGTCTCCCTGCAGAGGTATCAATGAGTTTGACAAGGGGTGCTGCCCCAGGGCTGGCAGAAGACATTAGAGAACCTGTGGAAGATGGACCATATGGCCTTTCTACAATTCAAACCTTCTGAATTCCAGAGTATACCTGATACTGGGGTTTTGGACCCATCTTATTATTCTGACTAACAGATGAAGACACAGAAGTTAAATAATCTGCCCAAAGTTGTGAGCTGGGTCTGTCAGGCCAGACTGGGTGGGTGTGTAAGGGGGGGACATGGTGGTACCATCGACCGGGCGCTGGCCTCCCCATTTCGCTCATGATGCTTTTGGACAGACAAATGGTTGAGTTTAAATTTAACTTGGTGTTTGGGGCTCAGAAGTTGGAATGGTCAAGTCTACTCACCCTCTGTCCTTCCTCCAGATGGTGTGGTCCTGGTGGATCCTGAGTATCTCAAGGAGAGGAGAGGTGAGCTGTGGCCCTTACCCCCAGCCTGTCAAGGGGCCTCCTTTTCCTCCATGACCTCCAGCCGAGGGCCTTCCTGACTCGCAGGCAGAATATCAGCAGTAAGAGAGGCAACAAGCCTGTCCCTGCCCCTCCCTGCTGGTACTTCCCTCGACAGCTCCAGTCAACGTCAGAGCAGGTGCCTTGGCCTCCCCCGGCCTGGGGCGGCCCTGCCCGCGCCCATTTTGGGAGAACCTTCTAATGCCCTGAGCCCTTTTACATCAATCCATCATGACTGTTGCAAGGCTGGGGATGCAAACAGAGCAGGAGTTAGGGTCTCATTGTACAGAAGAGAAGATTGATTCCTGGGGAGGTCAAGGAATTGTCTAAGGTCAGCAGGAGGACAGGAGGCGGGGCGGGGGGGGTGAGTGGGACAAGACTCTGAGCCTTCCGGACACCACCCAGCACTTGTTTCCCCTCCCACTACTCTTTCCCACTGTGCTCCTTCCCAGCCCCTATCAACCCTGTCAGACCCTCTCCACACATGCCCAGGGCTGCAGTGGGGGTGGAGAAGAACAGAACCGATCCAGCAGTCAGCCCCACTTCCTCCCAGGGGCCAGGCACCTGACACCCCATCCCAAGGGCAGCGCAGCCCTCCCCGCAGGAGCTCTGGGACAGACCTGTGCCTCCAGTGGGGCCAGTCACAGGGCTGTGGCTCACGCTCTGGGGGGCGTGTTTGCTGCCCTCCCAGGCCCCTCCTTAGTGCCCCCTGCTCCCACAGTCTATGTGACACTGACCTGCGCCTTCCGCTACGGCCGGGAGGACCTGGATGTCCTGGGCCTGACCTTTCGCAAGGACCTGTTTGTGGCCAACGTGCAGTCCTTCCCGCCAGCCCCTGAGGACAAGAAACCCCTGACTCGGCTGCAGGAGCGCCTCATCAAGAAGCTGGGCGAGCACGCCTACCCTTTCACCTTTGAGGTCAGGGACTGCCAGCCCCTGGGGCCCCATTCCAGAAGCATCACGTCTAGCAAGCCCTCTGGGCAGGCATATGGGGGCAGCTGGGGCAGCAGCGCCGTGCCACCCAGTTTCCCAGTGTACGCTGGGACCAGGGCATTGGCACTTACGTTGCCTGGTAAGTGTCTCTGGCCACTGCCAGGGGCATCACCCTTACCTCTGCGCTACTCCCCAGACCCTCCTGAGTCCGGGTCATTGGTGGGAGAAAGGGGGGTCGAGGGGGGCTGCTGCAGAAAAAGAAGGAGCCCTTTCTGGCTCCTGGGTCACCACAAGGCTGTCTCCTCCCTCAGACCGGCTGCCCACTAGCCCTGCTTCAACCCAGCTCACAAACGAGGATGGCAAGTAGTGGATTTCCCTGCTCAGCCATCTTTCCACTCCAAGACCCCAAGATTCTGGATTTTCAAATTAACTGTTTCTCAGACTCTGATTCTGTGATTCAGTGAAATCCCCCGGCTTTCTGTGAGGGTCAGAGAAGGGGAGAGGATGCAGAGCCATCCTCTCTGTTATAGATGTGTTAGCTTCTTGTGGCTGCTAGAACGAATCATTGCAAACCTGGTAGTAATTAAACCTGCTAATTAAAACACGAATGTGTTATCTTACAGTTCTGGAGGTCAGAAATCAAAATCAGGTCTCACGGGGCTAAAATCAGGTGTCAGCAGGGCTGCATTCTTTCTGGAGGCTCCAGGAGGGAAACGGTTTCCTTGTCTTCTCCTGCTTCTGGAAACCACTCACACTCTTTGGTCCCTAGCCTGCCCCTCCTCCATCTTCAAAGCCAGCAATGGCTGATCCAGTCTTTCTCGAATCCCATCACTCTGACTTTTCTGCTGTCTTTTCTGCTTTCTGCTTTCACTGTTAAGGACCCTGTGATAAGGCCCATCTGGTTAATCCAGGGTAATCTCCCCATCTCAGGATACTTAAGTGAATCACACTGTAGAGTTCCTTTTGCCATTTAAGGTAACATTATCACAGGTTTTGGAGATAGGGATGTGGACATCTTTGGGGGGCCATTATTCTGCCTACCACAGTGGACATCGTGGAAAGACCTTTTCAACTCTTGTTCTGTGGGGACTGTGCTGGGTTAAACCCTTAGATAAAGAAAAACACTGAAATCCTTGGCTTTACTGAAGGGGCCTCTGGTCTAAACATGGGGCGTGGCTTGGCATGGTCTGATGGGGGAAACATGGGCTGTCCCCTGAATTCCCTAGTCTGATGGGAGGGACACGGCCTGTCCTCAGGGTCCCCTGGTCTGATGAATGTGTGTATGGGTGCCTGGGGTGGGAGACACAGAGAGGTCAGTGGTGAATGTGAACAGGTCTGTCTGTCCTCTTAACAGATCGCTCCGAACCTCCCATGTTCTGTGACGTTGCAGCCGGGGCCTGAAGACACAGGGAAGGTGGGTCACCCCCAAGGGAGCATCTCTCTGGGTCCAGGACACTGTGCCTCCAGTTCCCTGGCTTTCTCTCTGGGGAGGGTGCTAGAACCCTCCGTGTAGAAGCCTCCTTGCCTCTAGGCCAGGCTGATCCCACCTCAGATAAGCAGTCTTTTCAGACAGGGCAGCAGATACGGTGTCACTCAGTTGTGTGCCCAGGGTCACTCTCGCTGGCCTCGGTGTTGTCTGCAGAATGTTCTCTGGAAAACCAGCTGGCTTCACAACCTTGTGCGGAGGCGCAGCCATCACTGTTTCACAGGTGGGGAAACTGAGGCTCAGAGAGGAGTGACACCATGAGTGGCCCAGGCCTCAGATCTCTGAGCCCGTTTCCTCATCTGCGAAATGAAGGTGGTAGGATGTGCCTCGTCGTGCGGCCCAGAGGGTGGAGTGAGGCGCTGCAGGGACACGCCCAGTGCAGGGTCTGTGCACCGGAGGTCGGGGGAGCCCTCTGAACAGGGCTGCAGAGGTGCCTGTTGTTGTTTCTGGGCGGCTGCCTCGCTGAGTGATGAGGACAACCCCCCAGACAGGCAGGAGTCTGGAGAGGAGCCCGGTCAGGGAGCAGCTCTGCGGGAAGGTCGGATGGGGGAGGCAGCCCCACGGCTGGCTGAGCGCAGGGCTCCGAGTCAGACGAGGGGGGTCAGGCCGTGGGAACGTGGTGCTCCCATCCAGCGGCCTTGTTAAATGAGGGGGTGGGCAGGCTGTGCTCATGGGAGCCGGTCCTCTCCAAGGCTCTGCGGTCAGTGACCCCTCCCCACAGGCCTGCGGTGTGGACTATGAAGTGAAAGCCTTCTGCGCCGAGAACCTGGAGGAGAAGATCCACAAGCGGTGAGAAGGGCGCAGCTTCCGCCTGCCTGGGCGTGGGCTGCCTGCTGGCAGGGGTAGGGAGACAGGATGGGCAAAGTCTGAAGAAGACAGAAGTCACAATGCCTGGAAGTGTGCAAGGAGGGGCCTCACGTTCCAGCCTTGGGAACTCTGCAAAGGGCACTCGGGAAGGCTTGCAGGTTGTGAGGGCTTCCTGGGGGAGGTGGCTCAGTTGCCTTGGCTCAGGCCTCAGCGCTTTTTCCTTTGCACCACTGTACCCGCTTCCCTTATCTCCCTGCCTCTAATCTCTTCCTCTCCAGACGCGTGTCCTTTAATTTTGTTTTGGAAAAAAAACGAAAAACGAAAATCAGGTTGTTTTAAACAGTGAACAAGATGTTTCCCGCCAGCTTGGACCCCCATCTCCCAGTTCTCCTGGGAGGCCATCAGCAGGAGGTTGTGGCGGCGGGTTAGGGGGGTGTCAATGGAGGCTTCTAAACAAGGCAGGGAAGGGGAGAACGTGAACCCACCCAGGGCAGAGGGAGGAGGTCAGCCGTATGTCAGAGAGGGGAAACCTTTTCCTGGAGAGACACAGCCCTGGGCAGACAGAGAGCCCAAGCTAGCAGCCAGAAATAGCTGGTCCTGACTTCTGGGGTGAGCTGCCCAGCCCCGCGCTCACACCTGCCCCTCCTGGGGTCCGGCTTTGCTCTGGCTCCCGGCGAGGCTGGCCTCAGCCCCCAGCTCTGATGCACCCTGCTTCCTGAGGGCGCTGCAGCCTCTTAGGGAGCGGGCTGAGTTTGCCACCTAGTGGTCGCAGGATGCATTGCACATCTCTAACTCCAACCTGGCAGCTTATGTGTGTGTGGAGATGGGATCCTTCTCCCTTGCTTCTCTGTCCCCCTTTTCTTCTTAAGCCCTGAGATCAGAAGAAAGGAAGGGGGTTGTAGGTTGTGGTAGGTGGCCTAACCAGAGCAGGGAAGAGGAGGCAGCACTGAGAGCCAGCACTTACCACCAATGGGACATTTTAAGTCCACGCTGGAGTTACTAATAATGATATAGCAACTATCACTTATCAAGAGCTTATTAGACACCAGACACAGTTCAAAGTGATGGACATGTATGAACTAATTCAGTCCTCACAGCAACCCTAAGAAGTGGGTCCTGCTGTTGTCACCATTTTACAGATGAGGAGACTGAGGCACGGAGGTTAATTTACTCAAGGTCATATAGTTAGTATGGGGAGAGCTAGGACTTTAGCCCCGGCTATCCAGCTCAGGGAATGGAGGTGGCTTAGCTGAGAAAGAGGGATGCCGGGATACCTAGCACACCTGACAGTCAGGAGACTGCCTGTCTGAGTCCCATCCCCTCACCACATCTTCGTGTCCTTGTTTCCTCCCTGAGCCCATCACCTTCATTGAGCCCCATCCCATCTCTGGGCCTCCATCCTCTCACTGAGCCTTTATCCTCTTTACTCCCCCTGCCTGAATGCACACCTCCTCACTGAACTCCTTCACCTCTCTGAGCCCCGTTTCTTCATGAGCCCCTTGTTCCCTGTGTATATTTTTATTTAATAGATATTTAGCAGGTATTTATTATATGGCAGCAGGCACTGTCATAAATACTGAGAATACAGTAGTGAACAATGTAGACAAAAACGTCTGTCCTTAAAGAACTCACACTGTTAGGTGACATGAGAGATGCAGGAGGTGAAACAACAGTCGCTTTCTTAGCGTCCGCTGGCTACCAGCACACAGATCCACGTGAAGTGCTGCCATGGGACGGTTTGGCCTCTGATGTGGTGGGAGGGAGTTCACACCAGGAGAAGATCAGAGTGGGCGGATCTCGGGAGTTTCCTGGTAGAGCAGGTGTTTGGCTGGGCCTTGAGGAAGGAAGCAAATGAGGGCAGAAGCTGGAAGAGAGTGTTATAGGCTGGGACCCAGTATAAGCAGAGCTTCAGAAATAGGACTAGATAGACCATCGAGAATGATAGTGAAGAAGTGGAGGAGGCTGGGGACAAGATGCAGGAGGTTGGAGTGGGACCAGATGGTGACAAGGCCCTATGCCAAACTCTGCAGTTTGGACTGGAGTCCAAGGTCATGGGAACCATGGCAGTCTCTTCAGCAAGAGAAGGATGTGAGGGTCGCAAGGAAAGAGGGTGGAGGCAGGTGACTCTGGTCATCTTTTGCTCTACCCATCTCCACTAGGAATTCTGTGCGCCTGATCATCCGGAAGGTGCAATACGCCCCGGAGAGGCCTGGCCCCCAGCCCACAGCCGAGACCACCAGGCAGTTCCTCATGTCCGATAAGCCCTTGCATCTGGAGGCCTCCTTGGATAAGGAGGTAGGAGGCTCGGGCTTGGCAGGGGGTGGGGGCCGCTCCCCCAGGGCTGGAGCCTCAGGTCCCAGCTCTCTCATGCCCTCTGGGCCTCCTCGGCTGGGAGCTTCTGCCTCCAGCCCAAGGATCACAGGGCTCAGGGAATCTGAGACTTCCGTTGGAGGATTTGGAGAAGCCTCTTGGGGACTAAAGGCGTGGCAGAGGTGGGGCATGAGCTCGAAGGGTGCGATTGACTTCAGAAGTCAGCATACCTCCTGAAGGGTCCTGGGTCCTGGCCATCTCCCTGCACCCCTGTCCCCCTTTGAAGTGTGAGAACCTCCTCTCCCTCTTGGGGGGGGGGCAGCTGAAGGCAAGTGCTTGGGCCAAGATGCAAGTTGAGGCTCTTCAATGAGGATTCAGAGCAGTTTCCCTCAGTGAGTGCGTCAGCCCTTCCCCACCTTTCTCCTGCTTCTTCCCGACCCTCCTGGGTCTAACTTCCAGGCAGCCAGAGCCGGCAGGGACTTGACATATCACCTACTCCAGTCCCTCCATTGTACAGAGGGGGAAACTGAGGCTTAGATAACCTGTTCAAGGTCACACCACTCTCACCCTCATTACCGTTATTATTCCTGTTATCGTTACTTCTGGTGGCCAAGCCCGGAGTGGAACACAGGAGTATCACCTTCTAACTTAATTATCTTTCAAGGTCCCACAAAGGAACTTAAGTTTAACATGCCCAGTGGCATCAGTGGGAAGTGGCTGATGAACTTGGGGCCAATATCAGAGTGGCCAAGGCCTTGGGAACCCCAGGAGATGTGTGTGGGGCCTCTTCTCCCTCTTCGTCATCTAAAGCTTTGGAGGCTTCCCATCCATCCCTCTCCCTTCTTACACCTCCCAGATCTACTACCACGGAGAACCCATCAGTGTCAACGTCCACGTCACCAACAACACCAACAAGACAGTGAAGAAGATTAAGATCTCGGGTACTCGGGCAGAGGGCCGGCCCAGGGGTGGCACGGGGACTCCTCCCAGGGGTCGGGGTAGCTGAAGGCTCTCCCCTCACTAACAGCCTTGTAAATAACTACCGGCCCACAGATAAGCCCAAGGCCTGCTAAGCCAAAGGGTAAGGCTTTTGAGGCTGGTAACACAGGCTGCTTGTTGACGGGGTAATGAGTTTACTGTTGAAGCCCCCTCTTCTCTTAGGTTCCCTGGGTTCTGGCCAGGGCTGTCCTTCAAGGGGAGATTTTTGTTTATGGAAGGAGTGGGCATGTTTGAGCTGCCATGTAGAGGATGGGTCCCTCTCCTGCAGAAGCTTCTGGTGGACTGGCTGTTGCCTGGGGCTGAACATCCCCAACTCGGGGAGCCTGGGACCCCTGGCTCACCCCACCTTGTCTCCCTCTTCCTCCTCAGTGCGCCAGTATGCAGACATCTGCCTTTTCAACACAGCGCAGTACAAGTGCCCCGTGGCCATGGAAGAGGCTGAGTAAGTGAGCACAAGGCCAGCTTTGGACGTGTGGGATCCGGTGGGGAAAAGAGAAGCCCTAGGTCTGGTCACAGGTCCAGGTGGCTCTTCTCCACCTGGCAGAGGGCCGGGCCTCAGATTTCCTTGCCGCTCAGTGTAAATGACCCTGAACAGCCTTTTAGAAACCATCCACTTGGTTTAGCTATAAGGAAATGCATGCTACAGTCAGGGAAAAGACCCACTAAAACTAGAATGACAAAATAAGAGCTAGTGAATCTAAGAGGACTGGGGTTATGGAGGGAAGAGAATAATTACACTGTACTGGAAACCTAGATTGCACAAAGCCCTCTGAGTTGGGGTTGCTGCTGACCCCAGTACGTAGGGAAGGAAATGGGGCCAGAGAGGTGACTTGCTCAGCCTCACAGGGCTGGCCGGCGGCAGAGCTGGGGCTCTTCTGACTCTGAGGCTTACGGCACCCCAGCTCGCTCATTGTTGAGAAGGGGGATGGCGGATGGAGCAAAAGCAGGTCAAAACTGAACAATCCAAACACCTTACACGTGCTGGATGGAGATGAGATAAGGCAAATAAGGTCTTCATTGTAGAACCCAGGGGGTGGGTAGATGGGTGTTCACTGCACAATTCTTTCAGTTTTCCTGTATGTTTGAAATCCTTTCATAATAATGTGTTAGGGAAAGAAAAAGTCCATGCTGTCTCCACTAAAAAATTATCCTAGTCAAACAGCACAGGGCCGAGCAGTACCTTGAATCTTTAAAACCTTGCACCTGCTTACAAACCAAGAATGAAGTTGTTGGATCACCCCAGAGTCATTGCTGTTTGCATGTGGAGCAGAGATGTGGCCCTTTTGGGTGGCAGTGGTCTCCCTGCCAGAGCTGGGCCTGGCCCATGTGGCCCCTTCGTGGCGGAGGGGGACTTGGAGCAGGGCTGGGCTCTGTGACCTGGCTGGGCTGGGGTTGGCTCTGGGGGCCCTCTCCACATCGGTCCCCCTTCTTCCCAGTGACACAGTGGCGCCCAGCTCGACATTCTGCAAAGTCTACACGCTGACCCCCTTCCTGGCCAACAACCGAGAGAAGCGGGGCCTCGCCCTGGACGGGAAGCTCAAACATGAGGACACGAACCTGGCCTCCAGCACCCTGTGAGGACCTACTCTCCCTAGTCCCAGGCTCTTGGATGTCCCCCCTCCACTGGCTCCCCTACCCTTCCCCAAAACGGGTCCACACCCACCTTGGTCCCACCAGTGCCAGCGTGGGCTCAGGCTACCCTCTCCCCAAGCGTTGTCCAGGGCCTGTCCTCATGAGCTTGAACTGCCAGAGAAGCTGTCCCCCAATCCCACCCTTATCCAGGGGTGCCCCAGAGAGCAAGATGGACCACTCGACCAGCCTCTCGTAGTCAGTGCTGCGCTCTGCTGGCTTGCCGAGGGGAGGGCAACCTGGAAAGGCTTCGTGCAAGAGGCAGGAGCTTCTGACGTCATGTCTTCTGTTGGATGGAGTGTGACCCTGAGGCAGAGCAAGGCTGGAAGGAAGGAAGGAAGGAAGGAAGGAAGGAAGGAAGGAAGGGAGTGGCTTCTGGAAGGGTCCTAGCAGGACAGGGTGAATCAGGACAGGCCTGGGGAGTCTGGAGAGTTGAGGGTGGTGAGCTGGGCTAAACCACATGTGGGGGTGTCCCCGGACGGCAGAGATCCCAGGGCCATAACGTAGGGTCACTCCTGTCCCACGGTCACCACTGACTCCCTGAGGCCACCCTCCTCTAGTGGAGACCTGGGGGTGTGGGGACCCGTCTTGCCCTGCCCGCTGAGGTCTGGCCCTTCCTGGGGGTTTGACCCACCTCTGCAGCACCGCTGCCCGCCACTCCAGCGCAAACGCTGTCTCACCCGCCCCTTCATATGCTACCATCTCCCCTTGGAGTGTTTGCTCTCTTCTTCCCTGGCTCAAATCCTACCTGCTTTCGAGACCTAATTAAAGCATCACTTTCCTGCAGGGTCTTCCCTGGTACCCACTCCCCTCCTCTCCCCCGCCAACTGCCCTCGTCTCTCTGGCTCAGGAGTGAGACAAAGGGAATCCACGTGAGAGCAGGAAGAGCCGCTCCGCACAGCACTGCTGGGACTCAGGCCCCTGGAGGGAAGCAGGGGTTCAAAGCCAGACTCGGAAGCCAGGGCTCTGAGTTCCCGCTCCCTGAGAGCAGACCTCGCCTTTCTCACGCACTGGGCTCTGCCTGTACCTGGCGGCTGAGTGGCCAGGAAAGGGACCGATGGCCGCTGCCCACACCGCACCCCACCCTGCCAGGTCTTGCCCACCAGCAAGCCCTGTGAACTAACTTCCCTGTGTCGCCTTGCAGGTTGAGGGAAGGAGCCAACCGGGAGATCCTGGGCATCATTGTTTCCTACAAAGTGAAGGTGAAGCTGGTGGTGTCTCGGGGAGGGTAAGTGTTACAGCCCAGCCCAGACCCAGACCCCAAAGTGCAGCAGGGAGGTCCCTGATGGCCACACCCGCTGCCCCATTCTGCCTGTTTGCTGGACCTTTTAGCTGAATCCTCTTCCTTCCCCTTTCCCTCTTCTACTTCAGAGGCCTTTGGCCCCTCTCTTGCCCCTCCCCTCTTTCTCTCCTCCCCCCTTCTCCTCTTCTTCCTCTTTTTCCTCCTTCTCTTCCCCATCGCTAGTCTGGGCACGTGGGAGGTGGGGGGAAGCTTCCTCAGAGTCTGTGCTGTGGGGTCTACAAGGGGTGCCATGTCTGTCATCACATCTCAGGGCACAGCACCCACCCTGACTCATACCCAGGCTGATCTGCTGGGGAAATGGCTCAAGGAGCTCAGAATTCCAGAGTTGGATTGGGGATGCGCTGACTCTCCTATTTTACAGATGGAGAAACAGAGGCCTAGACACACATTTCCTGAAATCTCCTTCCTTAATCTCAGGTCACGGACTGGGTGCTGGGGTCATGGCGGTAGACCAAACGTATTCCCTTACCTGGAGCATTGTCTGGTGGAAGCTCAGAAAGAACTCCCACTTTTCTCCATATGTTGGGCCTACATGTTGTTATAAACCTAGAATTAGGATTTCTAATTTGTCAGAGGGATTTGTTTTAACTCATAAATTTCTATGAAAAGATTGGAAAGCTAATAGCATTAGACATCGAGTCTCCTTTATTCTTAGAATAATGCCTCGTGCAGGTGACAGTGTGTAATATGGACCATATATTATAGGACATCTCAGAATCACAAATCTCAAATCCCGTGTCCTGTGACTCTTGCAGGACCCACAGTCTGCCTCAGGCTCCTTCTTGAGGAACCCTTGGGGAATCCTAAAGTGCTTCCTTCTGCCATTGGATAGCCCCAGCCTCCCCAGGGCAGGCAGCACAGGGGTTAACTTTTATGTCTCCTTTACAGATAATGACCCTGGGGCTCCCCTCGCAGGGAGTTTGGCTTAGCCGGGCCTGGGTTCCAGTTCCCCACGCAGGGCTCACACCTCCGTATGTCCCTGAATGAGCAGTTACAACTGGGGTGGGTAGAGTGTGTCCCAGGATCTAATCTACCCCAAAGGGGAACAGAGGTGGTAAATGAACGTGCTTTCTGTTTTCTTCCTCTCTGAACTCTCTCCTGACCACTTCTCCCGCCTCCTCTGACCCACCCACAGCCTGTTGGGAGATCTTGCATCCAGGTAAAGTCCCTTCCTTCGACCTGATCAACTCACCTGCCTGAAGGGCCCGGAGACCATTGTCCTGATTGTCCAGAATCACGGGCACTGGGTTGGAAGGAATCTTAGCGGTCACTTTTGATTGCCAGGCTCAGGCCTGTGCCGGGACTAGGACCCTCTCCAGAGGGACTGAGGAGGTGCAGTTTCTCCTTTCAAACCTCGCCCTGCTCTTCCACCCTACCCAAGTGACAAGGACCTTTGCAGACAGCAAAGTTGGCTCCATTTATCTGGGGAGTGGCCCCCAGTCTGTTTTACAGGATGTTTTGGAGAAATGCAGGCTTTGTGGCTTTCAAACTTCTACGCTAATGAGAACTAACAGCTGGCTGAGTGTTGTCAAGGAGAGGTCCTGAGATCTGCCTTTGTAGACAAGGCTTCTTGGAGCCAGCTGGATCCACGTGCATTCCAAAAATACCTGTGCCCCAAACCCAGTGCTTTGCTTCCTCCTGTCACAAGGTGCCACTATTGCTCATCCAAGAAAACTGAGTCCATTTGGAGAGGCGAAATTCAATTCAATGTAATTCAGTAAGAATTTCCTGAACCCATACTAGAGCCCAGCCTGGTGAGGGGGACTGAGCTCCCAGAGAGGAATCAGATACACCCCCTGCCCTTGGCTGCTCATAGCCTGGTGGAAGGTTAAGGTCCAGATTCTTCCATCTGTATTCTGGATGGCTTTAGTGAAGGTTGGCAGTCTTAATCTTCCATCAGCTTCCATTCTGATAGCTCACTTTTCCAAGTGAACCTGGAGAAGCAATCCCCTTTGGAAGCAAGAAGAAAAAGCAAAAAGCAAAAAAACAAAACAAAACAAAAAAGCCAAATTGTTTCAATAGCCTTATGAAACCCCCATGTTCCTATTGAGGGGAAGTAATAATTCTGGCAGGCACAAGCTTCACAGTTTAACCAAGCCTTTTACCTACATCACCTCCTGGAAGTGGCTCTAGAAGGTAGGTATAGTTAGCCCCGTTTTCCAGATAAGCTCAGTGAGACTTAAAGATGTGAAGTGTTGGGGCTTCCCTGGTGGCGCAGTGGTTGAGAGTCTGCCTGCCGATGCAGGGGACACGGGTTCGTGCCCCGGTCCGGGAGGATCCCACGTGCCGCGGAGCGGCTGGGCCCGTGAGCCATGGCCGCTGAGCCTGCGCGTCCGGAGCCTGTGCTCTGCAACGGGAGAGGCCACAACAGTGAGAGGCCCGCGTACCAAAAAAAAAAAAAAAAAAGATGTGAAGTGTTCCTTAGTGAGTGGTGGGGCTGGTGGAACAGCCCTTTCTGGTTGCGTAGTTTATACCCCTGACCCCTCCGTCCCCTGCCCCATCCTCCTCTCAGCTGGCCCCTGGCAGCAAAGTCAGTAAGATGATGTGCCTGTAGGCGCTCACAGTTGACAGGGCCTTGTAGGATGATACCACCTAAGTGGAGTGGAGGAGCTTTCAGGGCTGCTTTTGTCTGGAGTGGAGAAAGAGGGTGGGTGGAATCACCTTCTCAATTCTGAGATGTTATCACACAGGGTTAAGGGTGTGAATTAGGGAGTCAGAATCCTCAGTCTGTAACTTTCTTTTTTTTTAAAAAAAATTTCTTTATTTCTTTAATTAATTAATTTAATTTTTGGCTGCGTTGGGTCTTTGTTGCTGCACGCGGGCTTTTCTCTAGTTGCGGCGAGCGGGGGCCACTCTTCGTTGCGGTGCACGGCCTTCTCATTGGCTGGCTTCTCCTGTTGCAGAGCACGGGCTCTAGGCGCGCGGGCTTCAGTAGTTGTGGCACTCGGGCTCAGTAGTTGTGGCTCACGGGCTCTAGAGCACAGGCTCAGTAGTTGTGGTGCACGGGCTTAGTTGCTCGGCATGTGGGATCTTCCCGGACCAGGGCCTGAACCGTGTCCCCTGCATTGGCAGGTGGATTCTTAACCACTGTGCCACCAGGGAAGCCCTGTCACTTTCTTTTAAGAGCTGTACGGCCTTGGATATGCTGCGTTTTCTCCTTGGTCTCAATTTCCCAGCCTGTACATTGTTGTTGTGAAGGTTAAATGAGTGACTCTAGACTACTCCTTGGCGGAATGCCCTGGCAGTCCAGTGGTTAGGACTCTGTGCTTCCACTGCAGGGAGCACAGGTTCGATCCCTGGTCAAGGAGCTAAGATCCTGCAAGCTGAGCAGCAAGGCCGAAAAAACAAAAAAGTAGACCCCTCCTTGGCACAGAGTCAGTACCATGTGAGTGTCTGCTCTTGTTATTATTCTGTCCATCAGGGCTAAGGGGAGAGAAGGCCCAGTCAGAAACGTTAGCCACTAGCAGCACCGCTCCCATCCTTCCATCCCCACACGGCTTCAAGGCTCTGTGCACAATGTAGGGGCCTGGGTCCCATCTAGCTTGAATTTGATTAAGCTGACCTCAGCAGTGCATCATCTAGATTGCAGGGGGCTAGGGCCACCTGAGCACTTTCACAGGAGCCCCCTGGAGATGTTGGGAGATAAGACAGAGTGAGGGTGGGAGGAGTTCCAACCAGGAAGTTGGGAAGGGCAGTGTCAGGGGAGGCTGGGCTTGCTGTGGCCATTTGAGGCCAGCAGGGACTCAGGGCACCTCTGGAGCCACTCAGTGAGCAAGATGCACACTCACTGCCCTGGGCAACCCTTTTCCCACCCCTGTGCCTCCTCCCAGCTCGTGGGAATCCAGGGATCCTTCTCAGGAAAGGGGAAGTTTCCATGTTTTTTGGAGCCAGGAGAAGAAATCTCCCAGTTCAACTCCCAGATAGACTGATGCTCAGAGAGTGGTGGAACAGGTTCTTGGGCCAGATTTCCTGCCTCTTGGCCCAGAGCTACCGTAAAACCCTCCCCAGCCCTCAAAGTGACAGGGCATTGAGACTCACAGCCTGGGACTGGATTCAAGGCTCAACTGGTCTGGGTCTCTTTCAGTGACGTGGCTGTGGAGCTGCCCTTCACCCTAATGCACCCCAAGCCCAAAGAGGAACCCCCGCATCGGGAAGGTGAGCAGAATCTGTGGGTCACTGGGATGGGGTTTCCCTATCACCCCACCTACCTCTGGGTCAGCCTTCAGCCCAGGGTCACGCCTTTTCCCCAGCTCACGGGATCTTTTGTGAGGCCCACACTCCTATTTGCATCTGACTCCTCAGGAGATAGAGAGGTCTGGCTCTGTTCTCTCTGGGCTGGGGGTGGTGGTGGGAGCTGCACGGGCCATGCTTGGAGCCCTTGTCTGGCATCCAGGCATAGCGGAAGGGGCTGCATGGATAAAACGATCCCTGGACACACCACCCCCATAATTTTTCCAAGTGATACCGGATTAAACCTAAGACTGTTTCGGTTGAAAGAAACATTGTAGTATGTACCACAAAGAAAGAAAAGTGTTCCCACAATTAAACTTTGAAATGCCATTGATTGTAAACATACCCCAAGTTCAGAGATGTGAAAATGTGAATAAATGGTTGTATTAGAGTTAGTGACAGTGCTGCATGCGACAAATGAATCTAAGTCGTGCTGGAGAAGTGCCAAAAGGAGCAGGGTCCAGAGATTTTTCTGTTCTCCTGGGCCTGCTGTGGGCCTCCCTGGCCCTCCCTGGACCCTCCTCCCTGCATTTAAGGTTATTCGAGGTGTTACCAAGACCAGGGACCAGCCCCCCCTTCTCCACTCCCCTTCCTCCTTTCCCTCCCCATCTTAGCTTAGTTGTCCCAGGGTGGGGACCTGTGCCCACCTGCCCACTTGCCCACTCACCAATAATCCATGGGCACTCGTCTGCCCTGTGTTTAGTTCCAGAGAACGAGGCTCCAGTAGATACCAATCTCATAGAACTTGACACCACGTAAGCCAAACCCTGCCTGCAGACATATTGGGGGGGGGGGCGGGCCTTGGGAGGTGGGTGGGGCTACCTGGTTATTTGCATTTATGCTAATTAACCCCCTGAGGAGCAGCTGGTCTAACCCGTCTGCTGAGAGCTGCCTCTGCTCGCCTCTTCAGCAACCTGCTTGCCTGCATGTGACTTGAAGGACCCTCGGTGCCTGTTCCTCTTCCTCCTGCCTTGGTGGGGTCTGTCTTCCTCCCTCGTCCTTGCACGTCCGTCAGTCCGTTCGTCCATCCACAGCACCTGCTCGGCTGTCACAGGGCTGGTTTGTGGCCCTGGGCTGGGGCTCTCTTGCCTGGCCTTCACCCAACCAGTGGAATCAGGCCGTAGGGAGGGGAAGTTTCTGGGGATCTTGTTGCTTCTGACTCCCGAGGACCAATGTGGATTCCCCTGCGGTCGAAGGCTGTCGTGTCACCAGACAGTGGCCAGAGGGGGAGGACCTGGGCGAACATCAGGAAATACCTCCAGGGCCAAGCAGATTTCTCGCTCCAGCTCCAAATCTACACTTCCTTTGTCCCCCAGGAGATATTTGGCATATGGGGTTTTAAGTCACGCCATGAGGACACCCCATGCGGCTGGCTGAATTCTGTGGGGCTGGGGCCTTGGGTGGGCCTATGTGGACATGTCTTATAGTAGAAGGGAACTTACTGTTCTTAGAAGCAGCCCTTAGCCCTGAAACCCCCTCAGGCACCCTCTTTTCCCACCCACATTTTCTCTGCCCCCCTATTTAGATTGGCCTACCCCCCTCCCTGCCCCCCACAGACCCTGTCTTATCCAAGATCCCTCAGGGTAGAGTGTGAGCTGACACTTCCCTGGAGAAAAGGGGTTTTCTCTTCCAAGCCAGGCCCACTGCTTCCTGTGCAGGAAACAGGAGTGCTTTCTTCGGGTGGTTGAATGGGGTTCCTTGGGCCTGTTCTTGGGGGATTCAGAATAGAATATGCTGTGAAACTACTGGTGGCCTGGCCTCTTTGTGGGAATAACTTCCTCCTCTGGCCCTAACCCAGCCACACTGACCCCCCCTCCCAATTTTATGTGTCCCTTGACCCCAACTCCTCAAGAACCAGGTCAATTTCCAGCCCTTAGGCAAACTCATGCCTCCCTCTGGTATTTCCACAACTGGCTGGTCCCACTGTCATTGATGGGCATCCAGATGTGCCAGCCTGGCAGGCCTTTCTATCCGAGGCCAGCCTCTGGGTCCCACCTGGCTGTGCAGGCTCTCCAGCCCCTGGATAAGCCTACTCTCCCTGCCCTGCAAACACACCCGTTTTCCTTGTCTTTCCCACCAGCGACGACGACATTGTGTTTGAGGACTTTGCTCGCCAGAGACTGAAAGGCATGAAGGATGACAAAGAGGAAGAGGAGGACGGTACCGGCTCTCCACAGCCCAACGACAGATAGACTGGGGCTGGCCCTCCCTCCGGGCAGCTCCAGGTCCACTCTCATGCACTAGGATGCTTGTTTGTCTTCTTCCTGCCCTGGTTCCCCCTCCCCTTTGTTCTTCCAGCTTCTACCGGGGGCCCCAGTGGTCTTTCAGGTCACGGTGGTGAACCTCTGGCCTCAGGATTGGCCCCGTCACGATGCCGACAGGGCCACGTGCACCACCTTCACCACTCTCACTGCAGTCACCTCTCCATCCCCCCCTCTTTTCCTGTTGACCCCCAGAAAGGCCAACATGGCTCTGGTCTTGGAATTTGACTTGGGATGGGGAGTAGAAAGGGGAAGATGGGGCGCGAGGGCTTGGAGGGGCGGGGATGGGGGCTCAAGACACGTGAGAGGATGTCCACCGTCCCAGGTGATTAACACAGTTCTGGCAGCTAAAACATGACCGAATCGAAGGCCAACCTCTGGCTGGGAGGGGCAGACCGGTGGATAGATTCTCCATGCAGTTCTTTTCGCAGTTTGGACCCACCAAACACCTCTCCCCTTCCTCTCCCATCCCCCCCCCATGTCCCTCTGTGACTGACAGTGACATTGGTGAAGGTTTGTGGACCCCAGGAATGGAGCAAAGTAGCTGGACTGACTTTCTTACCAGCAGTTACCTAGTCTAAGGCAAGTTGTGTGAAGTAGCCCAAGTCTATTTCAGTATCGTCAGGATGTAATATCCTAACTGCCTTGTATCTTATGTGTGTGTGTCCTATCTACAAATATGCACAGAGAAAGAGAGAGAGAAGGGAGGGGTCTTCAGAAAGCACCAAGGTCCCGAGGAGGTTTCCTGAAGGGTGACTCTGAGAGATGGGGGCCGGGTGGGAGGATGAGAGTCTGCCCAGCTCCCTTCCTTTGTAGACCTAAGAGTGATCAGTGACCCCGAAGTGATTACTGGTGCGGGAAGTGAGGGCCACCGGTGTCCTCCTGCCCTTGCAGTTCTCCAGGGCCGGGCTGGGCTGCCCCTGCAGGCTAGGAGAGAGCACCTGAGGTCACTGTGCCCACAGTCAAAGAGGGTCCTTCCCCAGAAGGTGGCAGGGTCCATCAGGATGCCCTCACCTAAAAGGAAGGGGGGGGACTCCTTTGTTTCCTTGGGGAGTTGATGACCGCCCCAGTAGTTCCCAGTGTCATGGGTACCCAGTACCCATTGGCTAGTGTTGGTGTGATTGGGACATGGGGCATTTCCAGGGCAACAGGGCAGGCAGACAATGAGGCAGAAAGTGTTAAAAGGTATCTGTTTTTGTCTGACCTTTACTGCTCACTTACTGTGTGACCTTGGGCAAGTTCCTTTCCATCTCTGGGCCTCAGTTCTTCACCTAGAAAACCAAGGGGTTTGACCAGATGATCACAAAGGGCCCTCCCAGCTCTGTCTCCAAGAATTCGTGAACATTAGAGCTTCTGGTCTGGTGGGTGGAGCCAGAGCCACTGACTCTGATCTGTCTGCTACCAGCGAGGATTCACTGGACCCCAGAGGTGGCAGGGCCATGGAGAGCACCTAGCATCACCACCCCACACCCACTCCAGGCCTGAGAAAGGCCCTTCTTGGGCTCCTGAGTGGTTGTGTGATGTCAAGCTGTGGCCATAGCTAGCATGAGCTGCTTGGCCCTAGGGCCCGAGTGTTACAGAAGGACAGAGCTTGTATGAGGTGGGTGGGGGAAGAGCTTGTGATAAGCCCTCCAGTACTTCACACCCCCTTTGGATGTCCTGAAGTTTACCTTATACCCAAGCAAATATATTGATTCACAGGGCAAGGGGATCTCTTGCTCCTTTCTATCCCTGTCCCATACTTGTGAAAAGGGAGATGGCAAAATTTTATTGTACAAGTTGCATCTCAACGCTTTTCAGTTCAGCCCCTCCTGGGGTGGACCGAGCAACCATGTTCCATGGTGAAATTACCCAGTTCACGTGCCTGGCACTGTACCCCAGCCCTTCCCTTCTGAATCTCATGAAGACTCAACCCTAGGGACCCCTACTCCAGGTCAGAACCAAGTCAGCTTGGGGCAGTCACACACCCATGGCCAGTTCTGCGGTCCCAGCTGCACCCAGCCCCTCCCAAAACCTGCTGGGCAGTCTGTACCTCATTTGGGCAGCTGGAGAGTTAATGAGTTGTTGGAACAATGCATGGCAAGCATATGCTCTTCAGGGTTGTCCTCTGGAACATTTGGGGCTGGTATAAGACCCTTTAGGATTTGGGGTGATCACTTGCCTACAAATAGACCTCTTCCCCCATCCCTAACCCGGTCACACAAAAGCTTTTTCAGGCTGGTTTCTTGACCTCCTTCCGCCTCAAAATCACACTCACCATATTGGGTTTATCCCAGTGTTGAACTGAAATTTCTCCAGCTGCAAGAAGCATCATGGGCCCATTTAGCCTTTTATTTACTCTTTGGGCCCAGGGTTGCAGAAGGGCAGTGGTCAAGTTCATTTGAATTTGGCTTAACCATCCTTGGTTGACAACTTCTCCACTTGGCGCTGAGCAGTGGAGACACAGAGTTGGGTCAGTCCCAGCCCCTGTCCTCAGGAAGCTCATGGTCAAGGGAAAGTTTTATGGGAAGTAGCGAGGGGGCCATTGCATTCAGGGTTCCATGATCGCTGCTAGTCTGTATGGTGCCTTGATGTGAATTAGAAATGGTGTCCCTTCCAAGCGGATTCCACCCACATTGGAATGCACAGCTTCTTGAGTGGTCACAGGCTGGAGTTTAGCCCCACTTGCCCCTGGGCTGGGCGCCCTCCTGCACAGACATGCACTGCAGCCCAGTGGGATGCTCAGGCTTCTTCCTGAGAGAAAGAACATACAGATCATCTTGCCAAGTTTCTGGTTGGTTCCAGACCCCGCTTCTCCTGCAGTCCCTAAGCATGACTGAGTTCTTCTCTGCAGGGCCCCTCTCCATCTGGAGTCAGCCTGTCCAGGGGAACCCTTGAAGTGAAACTGGGGGTGGGGGAGCCCCGCTGGGCTCCAGGCACCAGCCCACAGTACTGGCTCTCTCTGTCCACACATTTGGAGCCTGTGCTGACCATGCCTCTCCACACTGAGACTTTGCAGTGGGCCATGCGGGTGGCATGTAGATAGCAGTCTGGGCAGGAAGGGAGAGCATGGCTCGGGGTGAAAGTCTGCAGGCAGACGGCCAGCTGGACTTCCTCAGCCTTCCAGCCTAGAGAAGAGTTCAGTCGCCGTGAAGATAAGGACAGAGTTCTTCGGCTGGACCCCACGGGCCTTCTCAGTCTCAGAGCCCAGACAAACTGAGGGTGGGCTCACTTGGGGTCTTGGTTCATCTGGGGGAGTTGCTGACAAGCTGGTCCCATGTGGTGCCGTGAAGAGCACCCTGGCCTGCGAGTCCACGATGCCTGTCCATGTTGGCTGTTACCACCCAGCTGAGGAGCTCGAGCAACTCATTCAACCTCTTGGGATTGGTTTCCCTAACTGTAAAATGAGACAGCCATCCCTTTCCCGCCCAACTCGAGGAACTTGTGAGGCCCAGAGGAGATGCAAGTCAGCTCTGTAAGTTGCACATGGCTGCCCAGGCTGTGGCCCTGCCGCTGCGGGGGGGGGGGGGGGGGTAGCCCAGGGTCACACAGGAAGTTTGCCACTGGCTGAGCCCTCCCAGCCATCTTCATCTCTTGCTCTCGTGTCACTTAGGCAGAGGTCAGCCAGGATGAGACGAGGCCAGTTTGGCTTTGGTGACCCAGCCAAGAGGGAAATTCAGATACTATTCAGGAATGCTGTGTCTCCGGGCAGTGGTCCCAGCAACCAAGACAGAGAGACTGGACATGGATTGTGTCAGTGATTGGGGGGGGGTGGGGGGCGGGGGCACACCTTGGTGTCAGAGGCCAGGAAGCGTTGGATCTGATCCCAGGTTAGGGAGAGCCTCGTCCCTCAGGCCCAGGGGTGCTAACCCCCCCCACTACCCCACTAGAGAACCCCAAGGGTGAAGTGGAATAGAAATTGCTTGCCCCTTCCCTTCAAAGTGTAAGACCCCCTCCAGGATCAACCAGAGCTGCCAGTTGTCGCTTCTTGGTGACACTTGGGAGGGATTTGCGTACGGGGAAAACCCAGGCCTCTTACGCTGGGATCTGAGCCCCAGCTGATGCATCCCCGGTTGTTTCAGCAGCCCACAGAGGCAGCTTCCCTCCTGCCAGTGACTGGGGGCTGGACATCCTCCACCCATCCCAGAGGAAGGCATTAGGCCCCAGTCCTGGACTCTCATAGGGTCTTGTGGACGTAGGCCTATACCTGTTCTGGTTTTTAAAGTCAGCAAGGACCAAAACAGACTCCCCCGACTCTCGTCCATAAGCCTGCCTTGGGCCTGGCATTTTGCTTTCCTGGCCCAGGCAGCTCCCTCACTTTTGTTCTCCTTCCAGGACTGGAATGGCCTACCCATGGGGCAGGATCCCCACCTCTACCACAGGTACCCCGCCTCTACCTGCAGGCTCACTGCACAGTGGCTTCAAAGAGAGGCCCGTTGAAGGGGGAGCATCCTCCCCCCATCACTCTCTCCCAACTCTTCACCCTGAAAGGGAAGTCAAAGCACAGATTCCCCAGGAGCCATGACCCGTAGACTCTGACACACTGGTTTTCAAACCAGGTGCTGTGGAACCCCTGGTGTGCCACAGAGCTTTGTCAGGGGCTGCTAAGGTGGGAGAATGGGGGTGGAGGCCAAGGATAGGTCTCCAGCCCTCCCCGCCATTCCCACTTCCACCAGAACAACTCTGCTTTTATCTGTCTTGCCTATTGAGGTTTCACCTTTAAACTTTCTTTTGAAGAAAAACTTCTTCAAACCACCATTCTGAGGTTTGATCTTAGACCAGCAAGCCCAGCTTCTATTCTTGCATTTCCTGTTGGAATGACTCTAGCATTCCAATACAAAGTATCGTCCTATTGGAACTTGGGTCACAGACCCAGGCCCAAGCATTTGCTTATTCACACGCATACACACACGCGTGCGCGTGCGTGCACACACACACACACTTGATGGTTTTGTAGCCCACCCCCACTGAAGCTCCGGCCTGGGTTTCATTTGGGCGGGGGCCTGGTGCTGTGAGGATGGGTCTTGGCCCTGAAATTGGCCCAGGCATTGTGGGGGACCATGGAGGAAGCAGAGAGGCCCAGCCCCACCCCAGGACTTGTGTCTGTGCCCCAGTGTGACACCCCACTCCCCCGGCCCAGGCCAATGAGATGGCAGATGGACAGCGTGGTGGGAAGAGAAACTAGAGTTAGGTTCCTCTTTATATACAGCCAGCTTTAGTAAAAGAAATGCCAAGGGAGGACTTTATGACAAAAGTCCCTCCTATGAAGGCAGGATTCCTCCAGAGACCCTTTAAGCAGCAAATTTCCCTCGAGCAATTCTAATCGGATTACATTCCCACATCTGCGGTCAACTAAATGTGTGGGCAACAGGCGGGTGTCTGAAGAGAGGCTGGTTCCCTACCTCCAGTCCCCCAAATTCTCTTCCTGCTGGTCTGCCCCTCTGCCCAGGTCCCTCACTGGGGCTGACTAAGAGGTGGGCACTTCGGGGAGACCTGGACCAGCCCTTGGCACAGCATCCTGCCCAGCCCCCACCCAGGGCATCCAGGTGGAAATGTGAGACTTGGGGCACAGCAAGCCACGTGGCATGGGAGAAAGAGTGCCCAATGCTATTCTGTGTTCAGTGCGAGTGTGCCCTTGGGAACCTGACCTCAGTTTCCCCTTGTGTAAGATGGAGATAGTGCCCGGCTCTGCCCAACTCAAAGGGATTACTGCAAGGGTCATGGGAGAGGTGGGTATGAAGGGGGGCTCACAAATTCGGGGTGTCGTCACGGCCTGCCCTGGAGATCCAGGAGCACTCGGGGGATGATGGTTGGATGGACCGTCTTCCTGGGACATCTCTGCTCAGTGTTGGGGTCTAGCCGCAGATGCCAGGGGAGGGGGCTGCGTATTCCTTTCCAGTGGGAGCCGGCACTTAACCTGGTACTGTGTGTGGATCCTGGGTGTGAGGAGTGACAGGTGGTGGAGACTGGTCTCCAGGTCTGTGGCCCTTCTGTTAAGTGATTCTTTTGTGACACCCTTATTCCTGGGCCACCTGCCAGGTTTATCTGTTGTACCTGTGGCATTCCTTATTATGTCAGATAAGTTATTACAGTTTATTCAACTCTAACAGGACAGTTCTAACAGTTCTAATGAAAAAAAGAACCATAAATAGGAGACCATTAAAGGTCTTTTATGACAGATGCTGGCTGTGCTTTTATTTCTGTCTCATAAGCCCATGGCAGGACATAGACCAGCAGAAGCTGTCCCTGCTGCCCTGGACTAGCTGGGTCAGGTGGTGGCCCCAACTCCAACCTGGCTGCTCACCCCCTTCTCCTCCCCTCACTGCCATTTACCAGCCTTTGGGCCTGGGGAAGTTGCCAAACCTCTGATCCCTCTCAGACACCACTGGATCCCATGACCCCTGGTTTGCTCCTGGGGTGAAGCCATCCCATCTTCTCCCCAGTGACCACTTCAGCTGGAGTCCTGTCCCAGTCCCAGCTCTGGTTCTTACCCAGTTCTCATCTCCTGCTCTGCTAGGTCTCCCCGAAGTCACTTCAGTCTTCCATGACTTACCCACTGCCTGTTCCAAAAGAACACATGGGAGGAGTGGGGATATAGGTGAGGAAGATTCAGAGTCCTAAATGACAGTGTATCATATTAACACGAAAGGAAGATACTGCTGAATGTAAGATGGCTTTCCTAGAAAATTGGTCATATGTGTGAAACCATTTTGTTTTTTACATTCTTGTAGAATAATGTGCAACTTAGATCAGTGCATTGCCCTCCTGGTCGGCCAGAGGGTGGTCTCTTTCCTCTGATGCTCCCAGCCAGAGAAGGGTAATGGGCAGACACTGACATCTGAATCAGGAGACATGAGCTAGATCTTTGATTCTGCCCTCCCACGTGGACTGTATCAGTCCAAGTCCAGATAAACAGAGCCTATGCCAGAATATCAGTAGCAGGAATTTAATCAAAGAAACTGGTTATGAAAATGTTGCAAGGGCAAATGGGATGTAAGGCAACCCAGGTACAATAGGAAATCACTACCATCTGTAGGGTGGAAGGACAAGGGAGAAGAGGTGGTGTTACGGCGCTAAGGACCAGGGAAGCCCAATAAGGCTGTTGAGGGAGAGAGTAGCTGAAGAATCCAGACCATAGAAGAAAAGCCTCTGTTCCTGGGATGCTGCCCAAAGCAAGAGGGTGGGGGAAATACTCTGATTTCTCCTTTCCTTCTGCCCTCCTAATGGCAGACTCGAATTAAAAGTTAATTTTCAAGGAATCTTGGGGAACGTAGTTTGCAATGGTCAATGCCCTGCAATACAGAGCAGGAGAAGGTCAGGGGATTAGATCTGAGACCAAGTAGGCAAGTCACCAGCTCTTCCTTAATCTTCTCATCCAAAAAACAGAAATAATCCTATTGGCCTGGATACCACAATTTAGAAGGAGTGCCCTGACACCTAAACAAGGCTCTAAACATGGAAGAGGTCTTTGCGGTTACCTCTTAGCTTTGAGCTTTTCTCCTGTCACTGTCTTCATGGTGTTCTGAGACTTCATTTGTCTTAGCTTTTAAAAATTTCAGCAAATCAAAATAAATTGTGTAGGAGTTTCCAATTCTGGCCAAAACAGAGTAAGTCCACTACAGCCTATCTCTCCTACTGATTACATAAAAACCCTGGACAAAAATACAAAACACAGCTACCTAATGACTCTGAAAATTAAACAAAAGCAGGCAAATGGTCCTGGGAGTAAAAATTTGGAGAAGTAACCTGCATGGGGTAGATTTCCCTTTTATTTCTCCTTTCTCTTGTGGATTTGTGCTGCAATTAGAACCACCCACCACCCAACAGACAAATTGGGTCTGAAACTAAATCAGTTGATAACCTCTTGAAACAACGACAACAACAACTACAAAATCAACGTTCTATCAAGGATTATAACAGGGGGCTTCCCTGGTAGCGCAGTGGTTGAGAGTCCGCCTGCCGATGCAGGGGACACGGGTTTGTGCCCTGGTCTGGGAGGATCCCACATGCCGTGGAGCGGCTGGGCCCGTGAGCCATGGCCGCTGAGCCTGCGCGTCCGGAGCCTATGCTCCACAACGGGAGAGGCCACAACAGTGAGAGGCCCGCGTACCGCAAAAAAAAAAAAAAAAAAAAGGATTATAACAGGACCTAGAGTCTACACAACATAACATTCACAGTGTCCAGGATACAATCTAAAATAACTCAACATACAAAAACCAGAAGAAGAGGATGATCAATGAGGATGCATGATCAGTATACAAAAATCAATTATACTTCTGTAGAGTAACATCAAACAACTGGATCTTGAAATTTAAAAGACAATGCCAAATAAAAAGATATTACCACCTACAATAGCACCAAAATGGAAATATACTTAGGTATAAATAGGAAAATATGTGCATAATCTCTATGTACATCTCTAAAGCACAAAATACTGATCAAAGAAGACCTAAACAAATTGAGACATGTACTATGTTCATGGATTGGAAGATTCAATGTTGAATATGGATTCAATATGGATTAGAAGATGTCAATTCTCTACAAACTATAGATTCAGTGCAGTCCAAATCAAGATCTCTGCAGAATTTTTTCTTTTCTTTTGTATGTGTAGACAAGCTGATCCTAAACATTATATGGAAAGGTAAAGGAACTAGAATAGCCAAGCAATTTTTTAAAGGAAGAACAACATTGGAGTTGCCTACTAACTGATCTCAAGACTTACTATGAAGCTACAGTAATGAAGACAGTGTGGTAGTGGTGAAAGAATAGACATCTATATCAATGGAATGAACGCCAGAATCCAGAAGTAGACCTGTATGTATCAACTGATTTTCCAAAAAGGTGCAAAGGCTATCCAATTGTTCTTCCCAATAAATAGTGCTGGCAAGGGTGTGGAGGAACTGGAACGCACACATGGCTGGTGGGCATACCAAATGGTACAGACACTTTGGAAAACAGTTTGGCAGAGTTTCTTATAAGTTTAAAGATACTTACTATAAGACTTAGAAGTTCCACTCCCAAAATAAATGAAAAGTTATGTCCTCACAAAAACCTGTATGTGAACGTTAATAATGGATGCATTCATAACTCAAAAACTGGAAACAACCCAAATGCTCTTCAGCTAGTGTGAATGGATAAACTCTTGTACAGCCATACAATGGAATACTACTCAGCAATAAAAATGAACAAACTAGTGGTACAACAACGAGGATGAATCTCAAATGCATCATGCTAAGTGAAAGAAGCTAGACTTAAAAGGATAAATATGTATGCATCTATTTATAGGACATTCTGGAAAAGGCAAAACTATGGGGATAGAAAACAGACCACTAGTTGCCAGTGGCTGGAGTTGAGGAAGGGTTGGCTACAGAGGGGCAGCAGGAGGTATTTGGGGGGGTGATGGAACTGTTCCATATCTTGATTGTCAAAATAAACTATGCCAAAAAAGAGTGGGTTTTTACTCTTTGCAAATATGTATCTCAATAAAAAGCAAAAAAAAAAAAAAGAAACTAAACAATCTGTAGCTCACAAACCGCAAACTATTTACTGGGCACGTACCATTTGCTGGGGCTTATGCTGGACCTTGAAGACACAAAGATTAATAAGACAATCCCTTCCTTCAAGGGGTTCACGAATTCACAGGAATGTAAGGCATGACGAAAAAGATTTCGACTTGATGTTGAGGGATATTGGAGATGGGGGCTGACACACACTCATGGCGTGCCATGGGAGCACTAAAGAGGGGCGGGTGGGATAGGAAATAAGGCAAGCTTCCTAGAAAGGGAATTGCTTCAACTGAGTTTTGAAGGATGAGAAGCAGTTAAGCAGGTGAGGAGAGGCTATGGGCATTCCAGATAGAAGGGGTGGCCCATGGGAAGCCCCAGGTGGTGAGACAACCTGGGACCTTCAAGGAATTGTAAGGACTTTGGTTTGGCTAGAATGAAGGGAACCAGAAGAGCTAACAGGAGATGGGAGCAGACCATAGTCATGGGGAGGAAGGTTAAAGATAATCAGTTCAAAGAGCTTTTTATCCAGAAGACGGTGGGACAGGTTTTAAGCAGGGCAGTGAGATGGATCAGCTCCATGCACTTTTAGGATCACTCTGGCTGCATTGCAGAGGATGGACTGGAGGGGAAGGCTGGAGGCAAAGGGATCAAGAAGGAAGCTGGGACAGGGATCCGGCTGAGAGATGTAGAGGTTGGGGCCAGGTGGGGAAGCAGAAGAAGGACTGATTGGAGAGGTATTTAGGGGTAGAATGGTCATAATTGGCCTCCCACTCAATATTTGAATATTCAGTCTCAGAACCTTTGCACTTGCTGTTTCTTCTGCCTGGATTGATCTTTCCTAGGCGGTTTGCAGAGATGCTTCCTTCCCATTGTTCAGGGTAAGCCACCTTCTCAGAGGAGCCTGCCTGACTACCCCATTCAAAGGAAAACCTTTCCCATCACTCTTACAACACTCTGTTTATTTCCCTCATAAGAGGTATCTTACTTGTTTATTTACTTGTTCTTGGTGCAAGCACATGGGCTCTGAGTTCTAACCCCAACTTGACTCCTTTATTAGCAATGAGCAAATTATTCATCTTTGTCTTAGTTTTTTCATTTGTAAAGTAGGAATAATAACACCTACTTCATAGAATTGTCATCTAAAATGGGTTAATATATGTAAAGTGCCTAGAACAACTGTCAGCTTCTTCCTAGCATAGTGCTTGGCGCATAGTAGGCACTTTATAAAATATTTGCTGAATGGATTTGACTAAATGAAAGAAGGAACATTCCCATGTTCACCAGCAGATGGCGCATGTACGGAAAAAAGTTAAAACTGCTCCCACTCTCACAAATTGGCCAATAGATGTCACTATAGCTCCCTGGGTCAAGGAACCAAGGCTGAGACAGGCTGTCAGTGGCAGATGTTGCCCAGATAGGACGCTGGACAAGAATCCCAAATGGAGGGCCAGAAAGCTATAATTGTATTAAAGAGTCAAAGTCTAAAAGCTAAAGCTAAATTATGTTTTACATGATTACATATTCTAAAGCTGCATTTTCTTTCTGTTCTCTCACTTTATTGAATAGTAACAAGGAGCTGACCATGCAGGCATCTTCTATAACTGCAGCCTCAGCTCAACAAGGTGAGAGGTTGTGGGACTTAAAGGGAGTGGGCATCAGACATACAGCAGAGGGAGGCCAGAGCGAGCCCTGCGTGATACCTCTTCCTCTGCGCTTTGGTCTTCTGTGGGGCGTGGCGCTCAGAAATCTCTGTGCGCCAGGGTCAGGCACCCAAAAGGGAACTGGGCCCAGCCCCTGCAGGGAGTGTCTGGTCTGGTGCAGACAATGGGCCAGAAAACAAATCAGTCCAAATGAAGGTCTGGGGGGGTGTCCAGAGACAGGAGGAAGAGGGTGAGGTCAGGAAAGCAGAGGGAACCATTGAGCTGTCCTGCTGCTCTCTGTTGGGGGTAAGGCATCCCAGGCAGAGGGTACTGTGTGAGCAAGGTATGGGGCCTGGAATAGCTAGCTGGGCTCTGTTACTAAAATCTGAGTAGTCTGGTGTGGCTAGAGAATAGCATTCAGGAAGTTGTTTAGCATGGCTGGAGGACGGGGGCAAGGACAGGGAGTGTATTAGTTATCTAGAGCTGGCAGACTAGCTAGTCTAGCAGTCTGGCACGTTTTCTTTTCCCCTCCAAGTCTTGTCAAAAGTCATTGTAGCCCAGGGCCCAACAGCCTGGTACAGTCCTAGTTTATTCTTGTCCCAGTGTAATTATTAATAGAGGTCCCTTTCACTCTCCAAAGTTTCCTAGTTTGGATGGTCACCTTAGTTTGGGGGCCCCCATGCCTCCATTATCACAGTGACCCCATCTTTACTGAGCACAGGAGCCGGGTATGGTCCATCTCAGCAGATGCTCGGCAGAGAGGAGAGGCTCAGGAAGGATGAGTTTCATGCAGGGGGACCTCAGAGCCTGCGGGTCCAGAACAAGCCCCTTTCTCCTCTCGGAGAGGCGTAGAGATGCCCCTTCCCTTGAGAAGGAGCCCCCATCAGAGTGTCTGCCTGCAAGAGGCTGGAGCAGGTTTCTGAGGCCTCCTGGAAGCTGCTGATGGAGGCTGAAGAGAGCTCTCCACCCTTTCCTTGCTGGCTTTTTGCTCATCTCCAGGTCACCACAGGTCTGGCCACAGGAGGCAATGACCACAGGGGTGGAGATACAGAGTTTGGAGGTGGGGCAGCACTGCCAGATACTCAGACCCAGAGCAGGGCAGGGATGGCCCCAGGGGGCACCCTGAGCTCTGGATCTGCTCTGCTCCTGACACCCTGTGTGACCTGGATGGGCTCCTGCACTCGCTGGGCCGCAACTTCCCCACTAGTACACTGAAGGGTTAGTTGAGGGGGTCTCCATGGGACTGGCCATCCCCGGGCAAATCGCTGTGAGGCAGGGCTGAGGGAAGAGGGTGGAGGTGGAGAGGGAGGGCTGGGGGGCAAAGGCGGGGACTCTGAAGGCAGCCAAGTTCATTACCACAGGAATATTAACTGCCCTTGTAACTTCTCCCAGTCCGTGAAAGGCCATGCCGGTAAATTAGGGCCATGAGTCTGCCAGGCAGAGACTTAATGAAGAAGGAGATGGACTTCAGTGAGAGCAGGGAGTGCCTCTGGAGGTCACAAGTCCAGCCCTGGCCTGACAGAAGGAACCTGGAGCCAGGGAGGGGCAGGGGGTGTCCACAGTCGGGGTCGGACTGAACCAGAAAGGCACGAGCCAGCTCTGTTGTGTTCACTGCTGGATCCCCAGCACCCAGCACACAGTAGGGCCTAACCAATGCTTCTGACTGACTGGGGTCCAGGCGACGTGGCAAGTCATGCTGAGCTCAGACTGAAACCCAGTCCTCTGGACTCCAGCTGGGCCCTCACTTATTCCCACCCCAGACCTGAGGGGCCTGGGTAGGAAAGGGGTCGCAGAAGTAAAAGGCTTCTCAAGGAGATGGTGATCGTGGCTTCCCTTTGTGTTTGAGAGGAAATTTCAGTTTTTACAGGGTCACAGAAGCCCAGGAAGTCTGACGTGTTTCTCGGTGCAGAGCTGCCTTGATGTGTATCACATTTCTGACAGTCACGCACGTTTTCTCTCCTTCTCTACCTGCTCTCTATCCCGCCTGCTCTTTAAGGGCACATCCTGGATGGAGCTTTCCCCCCTGGCACTTGGCCCCTGCAGTCACTTGCCCACCTCAAACTTCCAGCAGCATTCACAGCATCTCATTAGAGGGGGAGGTTAACCATTCGGTGAGTCCCTGGCACTGCTGAAAGAGGGTCTGCAGTGAGTGGGTGACATCAGGGTGTCAGGGGAGGGCCAGCCAGACCCCTCCATCTCACCTTTTCCTGCAAGACCTCTTTGTGGCCCCTTCCCTTAACCCCCTGCCCCTCTGGCTTCCCATGGGCACGGCTTAGCGGACTCCTCTCTCTGTCTCCTGTGCCCAGCATAAGGCCTGGCACAAAAAGGATGGGCAGAGGGAAGGAACAAGTAAGAGCACCACGCAGTTCTCCTGGCCCACATAGCACACCTCCCCACTTCCCTGACTTCTCTGAGGGCGGAAGTCCCTCTAGTTCCTCCCAGTGGAGAATGAAGGGAACGCAGAACCATCTTACCCACACACATCGTCCTAGCTACCCCCAGCCATTAATGGTCTTCTTGAATTATCAGACTAACAGATCTTCCTGCATCTAGGCCTTTGTACAAGCTGATACTTCTGATCTTTCTCTGTTCTGCAACTCCTACTCATCCCTCAAAACACTGCTCAAATGTGACTTTAAGAAATTTCCCTAGGCTGGGTACAGGGGCCCTTACTCTGAGTTCTCATGGTTTCCTGGGACTTCTTTTCTCTAGAACTTGATTGAATAGAATTTCTCCTCTGGGTCATTAGCTTTTCTAGGACTGACAAAGTTGTATTTAGTAGAGACTAAGAAAATGGTTGGATTTGCAGAGGAGGCTGGGGCCCTGGGGCCCTGCTGATAGTTCCATAAAGCCAAAGGCCACTGACAGGCTACAAGAAGGGAAACTGCTCAGAGACATTTAATGGGAGTCAGTGAATGGCACTAAGGTTAAATGTCAATTGGCATACGTTAGGTACTCAATTAGTTGATTTTTGACCACTATTGGTTTGATATTTAGCTTAGCATCAGCTCTCATCTAAAACCCTCAAAGATTTTTGCTGACAGTACCACAGCTAGCAGCATGTTTTATTTGCCAGGACTTAATGTAGTCTTAGGCTACATTACATTACGTCTTTGGAATTGGGCGGCGGGGGCAGGGGGTGGGGTGGGGTGGTGGGCAGGGTGACCTGTTAGAGACACAGTTCTCTAACCTGTGTTAGAGAGAACATCACCATTTTCCCCTACGGGACTGGCAAAGCACCCTTTGAAGGTCACTGATGGATGGGAATGCTTCAAGAGAATTTAACCCCTTCTCACGAGGAATGACTGGGAGAAGGGGTGAGGAGGCTCGTGCACTGCCAACCGCTCTGTGAAGAGCTGTCCTGGGGTGAGGTGTGCTCCTGGCCTCAGCGCAAAGTTGGGACTGTCAGGGAGTCCCAGGCAGATTTCTCCCGCATCGGCACCGAAGGGATGCTCCCAGGAGGGGAGGGAGTAAGCACCTCGAGAGAGGGTGCTCCTCGCTGATACAGTTTAGGAGCCTTCCCACGTTACCTCTGAGGTCCCTTTCAATGTTTAGAAGACACAAATTCTAGAATTAGGGCTTCACCGGTGGCGCAGTGGTTGAGAGTCCGCCTGCCGATGCAGGGGACACGGGTTCGTGCCCCAGTCCGGGAAGATCCCACATGCTGCGGAGCGGCTGGGCCCGTGAGCCATGGCCGCCGAGCCTGCACGTCCAGAGCCTGTGCTCCGCAACGGGAGGGGCCACAACAGTGAGAGGCCCGCGTACCAAAAAAAAATAAAAAATTCTAAAATTACATAACCCTAAGATTCTAAAATGCCAGAATTCTAGGCTTCTGCCATGTGGTTCTAGGGCTCTGAGACCCTGAATGTAAAATAATCCAGCCTGGGGACCTTGAGGTAGGAGACAGCCTCTTATCCTGGCCCTACTGGCCCAGAACCCACCTGTCTTCTTGTTCCACATATCTCAAGGGGCTATTTTATCCACGTCCCCCACTGCTAGGCTACCTCTCTTCTCAGCCTCTCACATATCCAAGGTGCAGGTCTTAACCCTCTAGCCAGGAGAGCATGGCGTGACACAGGACATAAGGGAGTACCAGGTAGTTCAACAGAGGGGACGATGTCAAAGCAGCAAATAATGATTCCTCCTCTTTTCTGTCTGAATTAACTGCCTCTGATTGTCTACAGCTGGATTTGTTCCCTGATAGCCTCATCTGATGCTAGTGTCTGTCAGTCCAACTACAGCTCCCCCATGACCCTCCACCCCACCGCAGTGATGAGGAACCGAAGGGTAAGAGGATGTAGAGGAAGTGCAGGACCCTACCCTGGCTGCGGATAACACTGTCTCAGCATAAAAAGCGAACTGGTTTGGAGAGCAATGCCATCCCAATGGGAAGTCCCTCCATGTGTCTAGCCTCAAGCTTACTATGTACAGTCAGAGCCCTTTTCTTCTCCCACAGTCCGGGAGAAGACATCAAGAGTCCCTGCTTCACCTCAGGAAGGTCTAAACTGCTCTAAGTGTCCCCTCCCACCCCCTTTAATGACCCAAGGTCAGCAGGAATGACATGGCACCGTTTACAAGAGCAGAGTATCTGAGATTATTGCAGACTTTATAGAAAACTGCCCAAGGGAGATCCAGATTTCCAGGGTGGGGTGGGAAGGCAGGCCTCCGGCAATATGTTGAAGGAGGGTGACTTCCTGTGTGCAGAAGCAGCACAGGCCAGCCATTCTGCCTGACCCAGGGGGTGGGAGTCAGGGAGAGGCGGCCCCCTCCCACTCACCAGTTGTGCTTTGGGATCATGAAGAAGGCAGGGCGCTGAGGCTCTGACCCTGGACCGGAGGGCTTTTCCCTTCCTCTCCCAGAAGGCATACGGGGGGACAGCGGTGGGGAGGTGGCAGAGAGGACTCTCCAAGGGAGAAGAGTCACATGGGTGGGAAAGAGAATGTGGCCAGCAGCTCCCAGCCCTTCAGAGCCCCTCCCCCACCCCTCTCTGTGGCACAATGGTCAGGTGACCCTGGTTGTGAGGCCAGACCATCTACTTTGCACCCCCAGGACTCTCTCCTCCAGGATCTCCCATGGGGATCTGCTAGTATGGCTGCGGGGTGCTTCGCATCTGCGCCTGTTTTGCAGGGCTAGAGAGCTCATCCTTAAGAGGAAAGGGGGCTGGGCATATCCCAGGGATGGATTCCTCACTGGACCCTGAGCCAGTGAGTGGCAGTGTGGGTACTGAGTGCAAGCGACGGATGTAGGAGGAACTGAGAGCCTAAGACTTGGGCAGGGGGAAGAAACTCAGATCGGGGTGAAGAGCTGAGAGTTTGAGATTGGGGACAAGGACTGAGTATTAGGGTATCAGAGCCAAAAGTGGGAAAGGCTGAGGATCAGCTCCACGCTAAGGCTATAAAGGGGTGTGCCTGTCCCTCGGATGGGGGAGATAGAGAAGAGCTGAACCCCAAGCCTGGGCCAAGGAAGGGAGGGGCCTGAGCAAGAGCTGGGGTGGTGGGTGGTATGAAATACATCCTCAGATTGGGGGAGGGTGCCCAACCCTCAGACTCCCCGGATGTAGGTTCTATGCAGGATGGAGAGTTAAGAGCTCCCAAACGAGAAGAAAGGCTCAAAGTCCACAGAAACCTCCTGGTGGGGTTGCTCTGCTTCTGAGACCAGAATGGGATGTGAGGGCCCCCGAGCCCTGGAAGGGAGCTGAGGGCTGCAAGCTGGAGTGTAGTCTAGGGGATGTTTCCTGCTGAGAGGTCTGGGTTCAAAGCACAGGGCGGTGGAAGCAGTCCCAGGGCCTTCGGATTGAAGGACAGGGTCTCTGGGTGAGTGCTGAAAGGGGGAGGGGCTTCTGGTGGTTCAGGAGGGCTGTCAGAGCTTGGGATGGGTGGATGGGGTTTCTGGAATCAGAAGAGAGTGTCTCTGGGTCTTTGATGGTGACAGCTCTCAGAGGCTGGGGAGGGGGGTACAGCTTGGGGCCTCCAGGTAGGGGAGATGCCATAATCCAAAGGTCTTAGATCGGTCAGGCGTAGGTCTCAAAGCCCCAAGCTCGCGGGAGTCTCATACCCACGGCCTCGGGACAGGTCATCAGCTGGCAGGGGTAGCCCCCAAGTCCCAACAAGCGAAGCTCAGAGGCCCGAACCGGGGGAAGTGGCCCCAGAACCGGCGGGGGCGGCCGAGGCGGGCGCGCGGCGCGGGTCTGCGTCCTGCTCGTAGCGGTAGTGGTAGCCCTCCATCTGGTCCCGGCAGGCCTCGCGCAAGTTGCGCATCCAGCGCTGGATGCCACGGCGGTTTAGGTAGAGCACCATTAGGAAGATGAGGCCGATGAGCGCCAGAACCAGTCCGAAGAAGACGTAGGACGCTTCCAGCTCCGGGCCGTCAAGTTCCACTTCTTCCCCGCGACCGTCGGCGTCGCCTTCGGCGCAGCGCAGCCCCGCCTCGTCCAGGTCCAGGAAAGGCCGGTCGTACAGCGCCCGCGGGGAGGCGCAGCGCAGGCGCCGCGCGTCGGGTACGCGCTCCGTGGCGTTGCGCATCCAGGCCAGCAGGGGGCGCGCAGCGCAGCCGCAACGCAGGGGGTTGTCGGCGAGCAGCAGGCGCGGCGCGGGGAGGCCGCCATCGCGCTCCAGCGCGCGCAGCTCGTCGGGGCCCAGGCCGGCCAGCGCGTTGAGGCGCGCGTCCAGCTGCTCCAGGCGCGGCCGGCGCAGCGCGGCGGACGGCAGGTGGCTAAGCGCGTTGCCCGACAGGCCCAGGAGGCGCAGCTCGTCGAGCGGGGCGAGCGCGGCGTCCAGCGCGGCCAGAAGCGCGGGGCCGCCCCGCGCCAGCGCGTGGTTGAGCTGCAGGGAGCGCAGCGCGGGCAGCCCGCGGAAAGCGTCGCCGCCCAGGGCGCGCAGCGGGTTGTGGCTCAGGTCGAGCGCCGCCAGGCTGGGCAGCCCGTCGAAGGCGCCGTCTTCCACCATCTCGATGTTGTTGTGCGTGAGGCGCAGAGCGGTCAGGAGCGGCAGGCGCACGCCGCCCGCCGCCTCCGCCTCCGCCTCCTCCCCGTCCGCGTCCCCGCCGGCGAAGGCGGCCGCGCGCAGCACAGTCAGGTTGGCGCCCACGATGGTGAGATTGCGCGCGTCGGGTGGCACGTCCCGCGGCGGCTGCCGGAGCTCGGCGCCCGACGCGCAGCGCAACATCAGCTTAGGGCCGCCGAAGCAGTAGCACTGGAAGGGACAGGGTGCGGCGGGTCGGCTCAGCGCCGCCGCCAGGAGCAGCAGCCCCGGCAGCAGCGGGCCCCTGTGCTCCGGCTGTCCCGCGCGCGGGGCCATCACGGCTGCCCCCGCATCCAGCGCCCGGGCCGCCGCGCTCACCAGTGAGTTCGGAGCCCCGTGGGGGCGGGGAGGGGGGCGGGTGGGGCAAGTCTTCGATCGGGAGCGCCCGGCAGTTGTGGTCGGTCCTTCCGCTGGCTCTATAGTCCGAGGAGCCTTCACTTTCCTGGCTGGGGCGAGAGGGGTCAGGCGGGGAGCGGAGCCCCCCGCCCCCGGTGCCCTCTTCGCCCTGCGCACCGGCCTCCGACTTCTGCGGCCGTTCTGGGCTCGGAGCCGAGTGGGCAGGGTTTGCCTCCCCCCTCCCCGCCTCCCGGCCTCCTCCTCCGCCCCCGGCGGTGTCTCCGCGCCCTCCTTGCGGAGAGGCGGGGTGGGAGGCTCCCGAGAACCAGGGCTTTCGGCTGCTGCTCTTTCTCTTACCCCCTCTGGGCTCCCGGACTGCTGAGAAGTTTGGCTCTCCGAGGTTCTGACTTATTTCCCCCTCATCTCCCCCCTAGCCCCCGCGCTTAGGCTGGTACCTTCCCCCTCCCTCTCTGGGATGTGTGGGGTGGGGTGGGGTGGGGCCGGGCTAGGGAGAGCAGGCAGGTGGGTCAGCATCACCGGCCGGCCGAGAATTTGGGGGAAGGACTTTAGGGCTCCTCCTACCAGCGCAGGCAAGGATGAGGGGTGGGCTGGGAAAGTTCCTCATTTTTCAGCCTCTCCCTTATCCTTGAGATCAAGGAGAGGGCTGTGCTAGGAGTGAGGGAAATCCCCAGCCTCAGCCCCCTCCTCTGCCACCCCAGTTACATCAGGCCTGGCTCGGTCAACAACCCTGCGAGTCCCAGGAGACCAACGTCTTCTCCACCCCACCCCATCCACCCCGAGGAAGCCAGCGACATCCCCTCCTCCTTCCACCCCTCCTCCCCCCAAGTCACTGGCTGCTCTGCCGGGAGTTCTTCCATCTGATTTCCTCCACCAGGCTGGACTCTTCCCCCAAGCACTCTCCTAGGCCCGGGGACCCAGTGGGTGTGGTGATTCAGCTCTTTGCTGTCCCCTCCCTGCCCCAGCACCTTGGTACCCCTGCTAGGCTGTTCTGGGTCTCAGGACCTTAGGGTTGTTGGATACCATCAGCTGCCCCTCCTCCCCTCCAGGGTACCTCACCTGTAAATGTTGAATGGGTTAGGAGGGTTTGTGAGACCGGGAGCAGATTTTGCAGCAGGGAGTGGGGGTCTCAGAAGGGGCCAGGGCTGAGCTGTTTATAGGTTTGTTTTGTTCTGGATTTTTTTTTTTTTTTTTTCCAGAACTGGGAAGCTCCAGACCTGATTTAAAGGGACAGACTCCTGAGAAGGGAGCACTCCTTGCCTTGGCATGAATTATTCAGGCTGGAGAGGCTGACACTTGATCCAAAAGCCCTTCTGGTATCAGCAGAGCTGGTTGGGATAGAGGCTCCCCCCAACCTAAGAGTCATTCTCTTTCACCTGAATTAGGGATTGTTGGGTTGACTCCTTCCCTGAGGTTATATTTAACTGATCAACCAACAGATCAACACCACTTAAGGAGAAGAGGTAGGAAAAGATGTAGACCCTGCAGTGGCCTGGGTCTCAGACAAGGACCATTGTTAAGGCCCAGGGCTGTTGATGCTGGGGGTGGGGGGGTGGCCTCCCCTTCCCCTTCCCCTTTCTCTCCCCTGTCCCCATTGTCACTCCCAAGTATTGGCAGATGAGAATAGTAACTTGCACAGGCATGTTGGCCATGTCTGTACAGATGTACATGTGCGATTGTACATGCACGTGTACACATAGAAGCAAGCTTAGACGTTAACAGACCTAGGTGTGTTCACGCGTAAGCACACACACACACACTCATGCTCACTTGGGTGTGCATACACATGCATAGGAAGGCTTGCATAAGCTTGTGCACAGTTCCAGGCAGCCTCAGATGTGCCTCTTGCAAGTACACGCAGGCTCATTCGTACGCGTGCACATAGAAACAGAGATTTGAGTGCATCCTGGCATGTGTCCGTAGATTCATAAGCACATACATATTTGAACCTTCCTACCTCTGGGGCCATGCAAGTGCCTGGGTGTGTTCTCAGAGGGGCAAGCTTACAGACTCATGCGTGCAAGCACATGTATCCAGAGGTCGGCCAACACACCCTGAGCTCACGCCTGCCCTCGGTCTGTGGAATTAACAGGGTGTGGTGTCTTTTCTCATATGGGCACAAGAGCTCAAACAGATGCCACTGAGGCTGAGCCCTCAGCTCTTGCACTCACCCCAGTCCAGGTCCACGTCAGCTCCAAGCCCCAGCCATGACATGTCCCCCCAGTGGGAGACGCTGGCTCTTCTTCACTATTGTGTTTCCAGTACAGGGACTAGCACAGGAGACTGTGCAGTAAATGTTCGTAAATGAATGAATGAATGAAAAGGTCTTTGCTTTTCTGTCCTGCTGCATAGAGCCCCTTCTGCCTCCAGCCACTAAGAAATCACAGACCAACTCCCAAGGCCAGATCTCCCTCCCCAGGTCCCATGGCGGCTGGTTTCTGATGGGCTGATGCCTGCTGAGTAGCAGGCAGCTTTGGTGGTAGGGGGTTGGGGTGTGTGTGCAGGTGCTAGACACCTCAGTTGGGGAAAGCGGACCAGAGGGAACCTAGGACCATCAGGTGGCAGAGAACAAGGTAATGACTGTGTTTTATAAATGGGGAGGTGAGGCCAGAGGGCCAGGGACTTGCCACAAAGCCTGTGGTCCTCAGGGCTTTGCCTAGAAACCTGGCCCCAGGGTCCTTGCCCAGGGCTTTGTCCAAGGTAGTAGCTGCATCTGAGAGGGGCCAGCACCACAGGGAAATTTCATCCTGACCCCAGGAACCTGAGGCCAAGAACAGATGCCAGGGTGTGTCTGGTGTCACCTTGGACCTCTTTCCACCTCTGGGCTGTCAGCTTCTACTTCTGCAAAGTAGGTGGGCTTTTGAATTCCTGTCATTCCTGGTCCTTTCAGAGCTATTGTGATAACGTGAAGGGAAAAGGTTTTGAAACAAGAAAAGCCATATCATTAGGGTCTGGCCACCTAGCATCCATGTGACTCTAGATGAGGCATTGCCCTTTTTCTGGGACTAATTATTTCCCATGTCGTTTTGCCCTGTTACATGTTCCTTCATCTCCCAATACCTCAAATTCTTGGTAGATAGTAAAAGGAGTGAGTCTCCACTTGCTGTCTCCGTATATGCCTCTACCCTGCCTTCTCCCCACCCTCCTCTTTGTTCAGGTGTTCCTTTTCTCTGTCCAGGTTCCCCCAGAACCAAGTCTGTGAGCCATTTGGGGCTCTCTGTTCTCTGGAGGAATAGCCCGCTCCGTCTTGGGGTTGTCAGTGTTCAGTATGCAGTAGGTGTTCAATAAATGTATGTCCAGTTGTGTCTGAGGCTGTGTGTTTATCCTCTGATGCATCGAGTGGATTGCTCGCTGTTTGCCCCACCTGAGGTGCTCTCTCCCCTTCATTCTATTTCTCCAGTCCAGCCTACTGTCCCTCAGGGCTCAGCTTGAGTTCTGTCCCCTCCAGGAAGCCTTCATGGCTTCCTTCTCTCTCCTTTGAACTTCACTGAGTGATCAGAGGGCTAGAGCTCTCCTGAGCCCCCTGACTGTCAGCAATTGGGGCTCAGAACTGTCTGATTTCTTGTCTTGTCAGCCCACAGCTCAGAGGGAAGGCACCAGGGAACATTTACAAAATGAAATAATGATTTAAAAATCTCTGGCTCGATCCACCCTTGTGAAGCAAGCTGGGTGAAATCCTCCATCTACATTTTACACCAGGAGACGGCCTCCTAGAAAGGTCAAGTGCTTTCCTCAAGGTTGCACAGCTAACTGGTACCCGCCTGACAGGAGCTCAGGTTTCCTGCTCATCTCCTTTGCTGCAGCCCTCCCCATCCTAGGTTATCTCTCTAGGGAGTGTGACTGGGTCAGATCCCAGGGGCGCTTGTGGGCAAAGAGCACAGGCACTCAGGGTTTCCTTAGGACTCAGCAAATGAATCACCCCAGCCCCACCCAGGCAGAATGATCCTGTCTGCCCTGTGCCAGGTTGAGAATCCCCCGTGTCAGCCACGCTGGGCCCCAGTTCTTGAGTTTATTACCCCACTAGGTCCCAGAGCCCCTCTCAGCCTTTCAAGGAGCTGTTCCCTCCCCTAAACCTCCTATACCCTTTTCTCCCTGAAAAGGCCCTACCCTTTATAAGCTCCACTAAGCCTTGGTAGGGAGCCTGGAGAGGTTTTCAACTTCCCTGAGGTCACCCAGCAGGTAGCCCTTCCCCATCTGCCTCCAGCTCCTTTCTGTCCATTAGGGGCAACTCAATGTTACTGGAGCCTGTAGACAAGTCTGCCTTTCCAGCTCTGTTTCCCTCTCTTCAAAGGTGTGTGTGTGCACGGGCTAATCTCGGAGGGCTTTTGAATCCTGTGCCCCTTGGCCTTTTAGGGATGAGGGTCATGGAGGGGAAGGTAATGCTGTGACTTGCCCAAGTTGGTGCCCCCACCTTTTTAACATGTGACCTTGAACTTGCGCCCCCCAATTATAAAGCAGTGGTAGGATAGTCTGGGGGTCCTCCTAAGTCTGATGCTGTAGCACCCTGCAATCCAGGCTCCCTTTATCCTGGCGGCCCTCACGCTGGCCTCCCTTTCCCTCTGCCCCCCCCCTTTCTCTAAGACAAGTGGAGGAGCAGCCCGGCAGGCATGACATGATGAAGCTCAGTCATTAGGTAGCGGGGGAGGCCCCAGGTTCTCTTGCGTAGTGTCTGTGCTGGTGGGGAGGGGAAAACTCCACTGCAGGCTTTGCTGTTCCCATTTCTCATTCCCCCCTCCCCCCACTGCCATGAGACACAGGAAAATCCATAGACCCAAGATTCATTTTCTCCATTGAGTCAGCAGAGGCCACACTCTGCTTCTGAGGGGCGGGCAACCAGCTTTTAAATAACTCTCCGATATTTAATACCCTCCTCCTCCACTCTGTGGCCTGGGCCTCTGGGGAAAGGCTAGGATAAATGAGTTGGATGAATCCTCTGAAAGTCATAAGTGCTCCTGCCTGCGCCTCAACCCACCCTCCTCCACCCAGACTTCCAGGCCATGGGGAAAAATACCGATTTCTTACTACCTTTGCACTGTGCTTTACAGTTTCTAAGTGGTGCCCCAGGTTGGGTTTGTTATCCCCAGTTTAGAATTGGAAACTGAAGTTTAGAAAAGAGGATGACCCCATCTGGCTTTTGGTCTTCGTCTGCTGCTAGCTGGCTGTGGGACTTTGATCAGGTCCCTATCCCTCTCTGGGCTTCTATTTCCTCACCTGTGCTACAAGGTGGTTCAGCCTCTGGGTTGCCACTAGTCCCTCTAGCTGTTACATTTCATGAGCTGCTGTCCTGGTCTAGGTCTAGGTCTCCTCTCATGGAGC